ATATATAATATCCCTCTCAAAAAAATATTTTTTCGATAGTTAATTATCTAATTTATGTTATTTTTTTTTCCTTAATACATTTCCTATCCAAGCCAAGCGTTATATCCTGAAACTCATTAGGATTATTATTTTCTATTTAAAAATTCATTTTATTTTTATTTTTGGAAATAAATTTTAAGGTATTTATAATTTAATAAATAACGATATAACGACTTGATGGATTAGTATTATATTACTTATGTTATAAACAAAAGTAAACTAATGCATAGTAGGATGAGTCAAAGCAAATAACCTCCATAATTTGAACCGAAAGTAGGATTATGGGAGATTAACCTTATGTTCGGGGTGGAGAGATCGTCGATGTAAGAAATATTCTGGTAAGTCTTATGACTAAGAAGCTCTATAAGTAAGGAGGTGGCGGGAGAATATTTGTAATATTTGTGGGAGACATGGAGTAGGTTGTAGCCCGAACCATTGTGCGTAAAGGTTGCCATCACCTTTTTAATTAGTTTTAAACTTATTTTTCATGTACATGGTTCTCTACTTGTCATTTTCTTTTCCCGTGAATTGACTTATCAAGTCTCGTTTAAAATCCTCTTGTGGTGGCCATTTTTTTTATACTTTCTTGCTACAAACTGACACCTAACGCTAATCTCATGTGACAGGCTTATACTCATGTTTTCCCCTTTCGTTCCCGTCATAGCTAAGCTGTTTCCTCGTTAATCAAGTCTGCAAAACGATTATGAACCAGGGATTCGCCGGTACCACATATTCCGGTATTACGGTTTATTTAGAAAACCGAAACCGATCACACCCGGTTTGAATGAAACCGATCCGATATTTTCCGGATTGGAAGAGGTCGGGAATTATTTGTCCCTCAAAAAAATAATTATATCAGGGGATTTCCATTTTATTGTCAATAGGGATTATAGAAAAACCAAAGCACATTTTATTAGGTTGTTATATATTTTATTAAAAGATTCAACGACAAATATAATTATATTAACTTCGTTTTTTTAAAAAAAAATAGAATTCCTATAATAAAGAAAGAAAAAAACTTAAAATATATTATAATTTTTTTATTATTAAATTAACTTCATTTCATTTCACTCCCCTGGAAAAAAAAAGAAATATCTTTATTTTTACGATGATCATCATCATTATTTATCTTGACCCCAACTGTTTTATATATAATAATTTAAAAATATACAACTAATAATATATATGTATATAATAGAATTGAATACGATAAATATTAATTTTTGATAATCTTGTGGTTTGGTGCATAACATGCAATAATAATCCCTCTGTTTTCCCCCCTTCTTCTTCTTCTTCCATACACCGTAATCTTAAATGTAATTATTTTTATTTATTTGATTTTGAAAAAAATACAACTAATCCACGGAGATCGAAGCCGAAAGAGTAGTGTAAGCCTGAGCGAAGCTACGGTTGATCATAATAAAGTAATATTAAGATCTCGGGATTTTTATTTTAGTTTTGGTTCAATAAATAATTTTTTTTTATAATATATATAATTTATGCAGAATTTTTTTTTTGTAATAAATATAAAAAACAATACTTTTTTTTTATCCCTCCCCATCGTATTTACTTATCTTATTACCAAATGAATAACGTAATATTATATCTTCCACCTCTTCTCTTCCCTACGGTGGTAAATTTTTTTTAATATATCGTTATATAATGATAATTATTATCCGAGACCTGAAGAGATACCATTTGTAAGGCCTAACCCGGATTTTTAAAACAAAATTATATTCGACCCGGCCCGCCCGGGTTTTTTTTAAAAAAAATTTTCAGGCCCGACCCGGATTTTTAAAACAAAATTATATTCGACCCGGCCCGCCCGGGTTTTTTTTAAAAAAAATTTTCAGGCCCGACCCGGATTTTTAAAACAAAATTATATTCGACCCGGCCCGCCCGGGTTTTTTTTAAAAAAAATTTTCAGGCCCGACCCGGGTTTTTTTTTATAATATATTTTATTTATTTTTGATTTTTTTTATAGCTAATACCTAAATTCTTCTTCTTTTTTTTTTAAAAAAAAAATCGATTATTTACAGTTTTCCTAAAGGGTAAAAAAATGTTTATTTTTTCCGTTCAATCACTTGTAGATTTGGCGAATTGGGCTTTAACTTGTACATTGGAAGGAGAGGGTGAACTCTAATAATAAATTGGATTGGCTGACTTCGATATGAGATATGGACAAAAGGGTCTTATTTATTATCCTCCATTTTCTTCGATATTTTTAAATCCCTCAATCGTTCCCTCAAAATTCTAATAAAATAAAAATCGACATTTAATGTTTTTCCAAGGGAACGGAATAAGCGGAAGGCGTTAACCGATGCGTTTTTACCTATTATTTAAAGTCCCGCGTTGTGCCTTTATTTTTTAGGCCCGACTTCGGTTCAAGAGAATCCGCCAAAAAATTTTGTCAGACCGATCTGGTTCAAATAATTTTTAAATATTCTGATACTACCCAATCCGATCCTATTTTTTTGAGAAATATATCGGACCCGATATTTAAAAAGATTGTAGGACCGGATATTTAAAAATATTTGGACTGAATCGGCAAGATTTTCTTTTTTTACATATTTTTTCGGGCAGGGAAGGAAGCTTTCTTTCTTTCTTTCTTTCTTTCTTTCTTTCTTTCTTTCTTTCTTTCTTTCTTTCTTTCTTTCTTTCTTTCTTTCTTTCTTTCTTTCTTTCTTTCTTTCTTTCTTTCTTTCTTTCTTTCTTTCTTTCTTTCTTTCTTTCTGGGCTTCTACTTATTTTGTTTATTTTATTTTTTAAGACGATTTATTAAAATACAAAATAAAAAACCACCTTTGATTTTTAATATAAAAATATAATAATTTTTTTTTTTTTTTATAGTTTACTACAACAACTACAAAAAAAAACTAATAAAAAACTTAACTTAAAAAAATAAAATATAATACCGAAGAATTAACCATTTCCTTTGTATATTTTTTATTATTATTATATTTCATTTTTTTCTTTGTATCTCCCATTAAAAAAAAATCCCTTTGATAGAAATATCCAGGGCCGCTGTCGGAGGAGAGTAATTTCTAACCCAATTTTTTCTTTTTATAAGCGTAAAATCACGAGGGATTCCGTTTAGGTTCGGATAGAAAATCGTTTAAAATAAACGGTTAACTGGTTTAACGGTCCGGTTAATGTTAGGTTCGGATCCCTGAAACGCTACGATCGGATAACTTTGTTATTTTATATATTCGAATCTAAATTGCCCGCGTTTTTTTTGGCCCCAATAATAAAACACTTATCTTTCGCGTCCCGCTTCCACAACGTGGCATGGCGGTGGGGAGACTATCGAATTTATGTTAGAAGCGCCACCCATTTCCGGTGTAATATGGGAGAGGGTGGGAGTAGTTATTGGGATGATTCTTCTAACGAGATCGGGAACCCGGGTGCCAATCCCTCGTTCACGGTTATCGCGATGAAGAATGCGAATTCGTGAGTCGAGATTTTTGTCAAAATCTACAATTTTAAAAAATATGGAAGAGACATCATATATTTATCCGAATTGCCATGTTTCAAGATTTTCGATATGGGTGAGAGGAGGCGGGAACGTATAACGAAGTTTTTAATTTTCAAAGTTGGGTGGTGGGGGGAGCCTTTTGAAAGTCTTCGAAAGTTAGTTAATATCAGCTGTTCCACCTCGAATTTTTATTTATTCGGGATTAGTGTCGGGTTTTAATAAATCTCTTTTTTTTAAAAAAAACTCTGCCCATACCTTTTAAATTTTTGCAGATATTTTGTCGAAAGAAGAAAAAAAAATTACTATTTAAAAAAAAACAATTGATTTTGTTTTTTTTAAAAATAAACACGTGATTAGGAAGAGGAAAAAAAACACTTAAGTTTTCATCCGATCTTGTGTTGTTAAACGGATATATTTAATCCTATTTTTTAAAAACGGCTAACTCAATATTTTAACCAGAAAAAATATTGCCTAAACCTCGAGATTACGCAAAAAAATGTCCAAACCTTTATGGCATCTGTGACTAAAATCTTCAGGTTTGCGTAGTATTTTTTTTTGGGGGGATAAAATATTGAGTTAGCCGATTCTTCTCTTCTCTCTCTTCTTTCTCTTCTCTTCTCTCTCTTCTTCTTCTTCTTCTCTCTTCTCTCTTCTCTTCTCTTCTCTCTTCTTCTCTTCTCTCTCTCTTCTCTTCTCTCTCTTCTCTTCTCTTCTCTTCTCTCTCTTCTCTTCTCTTCTCTTCTCTTCTCTTCTCTTCTCTCTCTCTTCTCTTCTCTCTTCTCTTCTTCTTTCTCTTCTCTTCTCTTCTCTTCTCTTCTCTTATCGGCTCAAATCGAGCCCTTTAACAACACTAATGAAAATCCATTATTTCGGGGAATTTTGTATGGAAAGATTTTAAAAAATTATTTTAAATGTACAATAATATTTTTGTTTTTTAATGCCTAAAAATATGTAATGTATTCTTAAATTCTTCGACGATATCTATAAATATCATTTATCGGTTTTATATCTTCCAAAATATATTATTAATCAAAATAATGCCGATCATTATTTTAGATGATAACAATGACATGTGATAAAACCTAGATTGTCGTTAAAAGTGTATACATCAAGGAAAACAGCTGGGGTCGCCATTTTGAATACCCGTTTCATTATTTAAAAATTTTAAACGAGAGGCCATGTTATTCCCTATGTCTAACGCAAACTTTATTAAAGGATTGCCCGATCATCGATATAATAAGGAAGCAAATCAATTTTTAACAGTAGTTTTTAACGCGAAATTAATTACTATATAAGTTACCAAAATGGCGGGTCCAGCTGATTTTCATTCAACGACGCTTTCAAATGCGTCGTCTGTCTATGTATTATTATAAGTCATTGGATGATAAATAAATTTGCTTATTAGGGGAAAATACGGCTATTACATCTAGATCTATACATAAGAAAGAAAAGAGAACGATATAAATTTTATTTTATTTACGATTAGGTCTTTGCCCTGATTGGCCCGATTGGGATAGTTCGAATTCATTGGATAACACGATCGAGGCTATGCAGTTGGCCGAGGAATATTTGAACGTTCCGCAAGTTTGGAAAAAAACTATTTTTTTTGCTGCAATTTTAAATTTGGGCAAATATCGAGAAAGGGAAAGGATCTAAGGACAGAAAAAGCTACTTTCTAGTCTCAATTCCTAACAGAGCATTATGTCAAGAAAATGGCGTCTTGGACGTTTTTTTAAGTGATGTATTCCTTTATAGATACACTTGTTCATATAAATCTTTTTGAAGTCCGAAAATCACGCGTTATTTAGACTACAAGCTATTTAGAATTTTAAAAAGAAAGAAAAAGGGCCAGAAAAGATGATAAAAAAAAATAATAAAAGAAATATAAATAAAAAAAATGTAAGAACGAATAAGAAAAAAAAAGACAAATAAGATTACACGGAAAACTCTAATTGCAGTTATTTTTTTTATAAATATTCTTAATTTATATTTGATCAGGAACTTAATTTAAAAATAGCTTGATTGTTTTTAAATGCCGCAATAAGGACTTGCTATAATTGTTAATGCTATAAAATTCGAATAAAATGTTTTCGTTATTTTTGTCTTATATCTACCATTTAAAAGTATGGGAAATTGTCTACGGCAGCTGAATAAGGAACAAATTTCTTATTTTTTTTAGGGGATTTTAATAAAAAATCTGTAATAAGATAATTCAAATCTTAGACTCACCCCCCCCCCCCCCCACCATCTTGCATTTCTGGGTGCAGATTACTTGCGTATGTTAGAACCCTTTGGTCAGTTTCTATCTAGCCATCATGTTATATTTGATACAAAAAAAATTCTATATTTAGGCATCAAGGATTATTTAGAAGGAAGAAAGGAAGGAATGAAAGAAATAGACTGACCTTGATGGAAGCCATTCATTAAATAATATGACATATTTAGTTTAAAATTTTTAACGAATGCATTTTTAAGATCTAATTAGTTTTATCGGTCATTCTTTTAAAAGAATGTTTTTTTTTAAATAATAAAAAAAAAAATTTGAATAAGTTTTTGTTGTCATTGTTACATGAATTAGACAATTAAATTTGTTATTTACTATATTTTGAACGATTGTTTTTAAAAAGTTGATCAAACCTCAAGAGATGGTTAATAAGAACGTTGACGAGCTTAGCATGATGACTTATCTCTCCCAATTTCCGAGCGCTAGGGTTAAGCCGAGCGCCCCGCTAAGACCTAGGACCAACCCTTCTAAGGTCAGGGTCTACGGAGCCGGGATAGAACCCATAGGTGATGAAAAGTTATTATACTTGTATTTGTAAACCTTTCAGATGCCTAATTTTTAGGCTCGGATTAAAAAAATTTCTTTCAAGCCCGGACCTGGTTTTGGCCCGGTCCCGATTTTATATTTTTAAACCCGGCCCGAATTTTTATCGAATCATATTGCCGGAGTGCACATCCCTAATATTTATACTAAACATACAAAGCTATTCTAACACAATAGGTGTATTTTTTTCCCCACAAACTAAACTTTCCGTATCGGAACCGAGCCGATACTCACTGTATCGAAAGATACTTTCCATTTTAACCAGTGGACCACAAGATAGTTTTTTTTCTCGAATTTACCATTAGTGAGGTAATCACGTGGTTTTATTTTAGATATTTTCCTCGACAAAACAATATAGTTTCTAAGGTGAGAATTGATTAATCTATCACGATTTTTAAATTTATCTATATACATTAAATATTGGTCAAGGCGTAACGGCTGGGTGCGCCACAAATTTTACGGTGGAAACGTTCAGCGCGGGCAGGGGCAAAGTCGACGTCAGCGTAAAGAATATCACCGAAAATTTGGAAGCTCCGGTACGTCGTTATAATATTGCCAAAATCGTTTATTTTTAAAAATCGCAGCTATATATATTCCTTTTTTTCTTGGTTCCTAACGAGGGTTGTGCGCCCGAATTCGCGTTTCAGCAATTTTCGTAAATTATTTAGCGGGAATTCTGATTACAGGAACTTAATCTGAAAATCGATTTTCTAAACGAGGCCCGACAGTCCCTTCCTCCTGGTTCATATTATCCCTCATCCCGCGTTCGATGAGTTGCCAACAAATCGGGCTCACAACCCGTGGTTCTAAAATTTTAATATAGACTGGCCTTCACTCATTAAAGATTTGCTTTGCATACCTCGAAGTCAGCTGTAGTCAATATCCTTGACTATAATATACACCATTTAAAGGTGTTTCTTTTTAAATTCCTTAGAGCTGACTTCGATGCGTGTATCTTTTTTTAAAAAAAAAATACATTTTAATGAAGGAATCGCGAGTTGTAGGATAGCGTTTAATACTTTATTTTTTTAATATCATTTTGTCATTTTTTTTTTAAAAAAATATTTTTTAGGTGGATCTAAAATTCAACAACGATAAAAATTTGACCTACACTTGCATTTACACTCCTCCGCTCAAAGGAACTCACTTGGTGAGTAAAATACAATTTGTGGATTTTTTTAACGATTTTACACGAAAGCAGGAAATGAAAAGAAGAAAAAAAAAAAGAAAGAAAAAAATCAAAATCTTTAAAAAACAAAATAATTTTATATTTTTTTTCTGACCGAAGATTGACGTCAAATTCGCTAACAAGGAAGTAGCCAAAAGCCCTTTCAAAGTTTTCGTGGAGGAAATGAAAGTCGAGCCTTCCAAGTGCGTGGCGGAAGGGCCGGCCCTGCAAGGAGACCTTAAAGCGGGAGTCGCAACTTTTTTCAAGGTGTACACTAAAGGTATGTTTTTTTGTTTACCTATGAGTGTTAGAAACAAAACAAAATATTCTTTTGGGTTACGAATTTTATTACCAACAAAAAAAACGCAGAGGCTGGTGTCGGAGTACTAGATTGCTATGGTCAGCAAGACGGTGTCCTGAATGACGAGGGCGCGCCTCTCCCTTTGGTGGTTGGTATCAAAAGGCTATCGGAGCACGAGTACCTGTGCGAGTTCGAACCCCAAACTTCCGGATCTTTACTCCTGCACGTGACCTTTTCCGGTGTTCCCATTCCTAATTTTCCGGCACGTTTGACCGTTCAGCCATGTAATCCCCATAAATTTAACTGCGATTCGCATTATAAAATAAATAGTCATTCTTAGATTAATTATAAGAAGAAAAAAAAATAAGAGCCTATTGTTCAGTTTAACTCTTTCAAATGCATAATATACCATACCTATCTATACCCTACTTACCCCCCCCCCCCTCCCCACCCCCGAAATTGATCTATCCCTAACAGTTATAGACCTATCTAAATTCTCCTTGTCTGGGCGCGGTGTTCAAGCCAGAGGAATCCGCTCCAAGGATACGGTTACATTCGCCGTTCATTATCCGCAGGAAATAGAGGCGTCTCTCATTCAGTCCAAAATACTTAATCCAAGTTTAAACCGTCTTTGTTTATTTTTATTTTTATGTTTTTTTTATTTTCTGCTGCCTTACATTAAAAACGACATATGTTGGTCAGGGAAAATGTTATTGTATTTTAAAGTACTATACAAGTATCAAACATTCCGGTCTGAACCCGATGATAGGATAATACAAACCCGGTGGGCCGGATTTTATAAAACTCCAACTCGGGTCGCAATCATCACTCGACGGTTTTACAGCTGTCAAATGGTTAATATATCCTTGAAAAAAGAACGTAGTAATGTTGGAATCGATGGATCAGAGTTTGAAAAAAATTTGATCAAAAATCTTTCTGAAAAAAAAATAAATTCTATACGATTATGCTCCATATGTATTTCCTTATTTAACTTCCTTAGGCAACTTTTCCCTACCTACGCTACGTAAATTAGACGCTAACGTCAACAAGGAACGAGTTCACTCGAAATCTATCCACGACGGAAATAGTTTGGAAAACGTATTTAAACTTCCCAACGCGGTAGTCGAGTTCGAATACAGTCCCGTTACCGTAGGGGTTCATAGCCTGGAAATCTGTTGCGGCGGTAAAAGCCTACCCAAGACTCCCCTTCAGGTTTAAAAATTTGGGTTATCCCTAAAATTAATTATGGCCTGTCTTAAATGATTATTTTTTTTTTTTGAAGTTTAATCTAAAGATCATTATTTATAACAGCCTAAGGAAAGAAATAAATGAGGATCATCATTAGTTACAATTTCCTTTATATTCGATCATGTGGCTATAATGACCACTTTATACACGTGATTAAACTTAAGCGCCCTAGGAATATCTTTTGACTTTTTTGGAGTGACATAGGAGGTGGGTGATTTAGACCTTATTTCATCCTCAAAAAACGATAATTATCAGACTCGTGTCACCGAACCAGGTTGGTAAATAGCCCCATACGAAAAATTGTTTTAGGCGTCGAAAATGTTACTCATACTTATATATATCTGTTTTTAAAATTAAGTGGAATCTTTTATTCAGATGAATTAAAAAAATTGTGAAATTTATTAATTTCAATTATCTATAGATAATTATTTTTTAGTGTTTTTAATATAAGAACTAGCGATATATATATGTTTTATAAGTAGGTAATAATTTCATATAATATAATGAAAGGTTTATAAAAGTATTCAAATCAATATATCATTTGGAAATAATAATAATAAAACTAAAGTAATCTTGAGCATATGGGATATTATATAAACGATATTTAGATACAGATATAGCTTTGAGCAATAGCCAACATCAGGGCTTCTATCTTACATCTTTTGCTCTTGGTTTAAATGTGAGTTCCTTTTATTTGGACCAGACCAAATAAGTATATTTTTTCAGTATGGGGATACTTATCGACACCGGATGTACAGCGCCTAAATTCAGCTGTCTTTCCAATGCCAGCCAGAACTTTTCCAATTTTGGGAAAAAAACACTGACATTGGAGAAAGAAAGAGAAAATGGGTTCAAAATATAGCGCTTTATACATTTAACACAAACCTAATCAAAATTATATATATGAAAAAATATATCAGATCGAAGTAATGCCTCACAAGGAGTCTGCTATTAAGGCTTACGGACCGGGTTTGATTGGGGGTATAGTGGGCCACGGGGCAAAATTTACCGTGGAAACTAACGGCGAAACAGGAGCTTTGGGTATATCTATTTTTTTAAAAATATATATATATTCCTTAAACTGCGAAAGATTAAAATTATTATGGCGGCTTGATCGTTAAAATGTACCATCTCCATCTTTGGAGCAATTTTAGAAAAAAATGGGTAGCTATAAATACGTTATATATAAAAATCAGGGTTTGCCGTTGAAGGTCCGTCGCGTACCGTTATAGACTGCGCTGATGTTGGGCGAGGAGCAGCTGATGTTCGTTACGTGCCTATGGCAAAAGGGGAGTACGCCATTAGGGTTCTTTGCGACGACCAGGACATTCCTGGAAGTCCATTTACCGCGAACGTTATAGAAGATCCCGGAGACGCCTTGGAAGAGGTAGAGTTTAAAAAATTTTAAGAAAGAAAAGAAAGAGGGAAATAAAGGAATGACAATAGAAATGAAAGAAGGAAGAAAAGAAAGAAAGAAAGAAAAAAAAAATATTTGATCCTGAAGAAAAAAATATTTTTAATAGTAAATTAAAAAAAATAAAAAAGTCGGATCTTATAAAAGTTTATGGAGCCGGCATCCATAATGTAATCGCTGGCGATTCGCCCCAGTCGATTCCTAGTTCGCAATCATTTCAGGAATTCTACGTGGATTACTCGGCTTTGAAGCGCATCGCCAATCTCCCTAAACCGTTAATCCAGCTGTTCAGTCCGGATCATGATGCTACGCCGGTCCAGATAATCTACGATCAGCTGGCTCGAAAGTAAAAAAAAGGGGGAGAATTATTAATATCGACTTTGCCTAAAAACGTTATTTCAATTCGTTCTTTTTTTTTTGTTTAATTCAATAATTTTTGGTTTGAGTCAATCGTCTAACGAGATCCCACATTTTTTTGGCTCTATGAACTATAGTATCGTCATCTGAGTATTGTAATGTTCTATCTCCACTTTTTTTCTAATATATACATTTTTTCATCTATAAATTTATTCTTCGGTATTTGTTAGAAAATTGATAATATAATTATTAATATTTATGAGTTTTAGAACCTGAATTAAAAATGCAATTATGTTAATACTAGAAAAGAAGAGTTCTTATAAATCATAATTATTTTTTGCTATATTTTATATTTTATACAAATAATTATTTTTACCATTTATTAATGTATTTTTTCCATATCAACAATAAAAGATGTTAAATTAATATTAATTTAGAACAATCCTCTATTCGCATCATTTTTAATGTTGTTAAATGCTCGTTTTGAGCCGATTTTTTAAAACCCGCTAACTCATTTTATTCAGAAAAAAATATTACGTAAGTTCTGAAGATTCTGCTCATAGAAGGAACAAAGGTCTAGACATATATTATCAGAATCTCGAGGCTAAGAAAAAATTTTTCTGGCTAAAATATTGAGTTGACCCGTTTTTTAAAGATCGGCTCAAAACGAGCCGTTTAACAACACTAGTCGTCTCCTATTTAAAATTATAAGAGAGATATTATATATTTTTTTAATTGGATACTTAGCCTATGATGTATTACATTACAAAAACAGGTTCATTTGCAAATACGTGGCCGGAAAGAAAGGGACTTACCTTTTGTACGTCAATCATAGAGGCGCCGATCTCAAGGATAGTCCTTGGAGGGTAAATCCTTATTAAATTCTTATGAAATAGAAAGGGAAAAGGAACAAAAAAAAATTAAATAAAGAAAGAAATAAAGAAAGAAAAAGAATGAAAATATTCTGAAAAATTATTTGTTTAAATAATTAGATTTTAAATATATAATTTTCGAGATAGCTTAATCTGTGTCTTTGCCGAGCTCTAAAAGGCGACAATGAAAACTGATGTAACAAAATTAATTATTTATTTTTTGATAAAAATTAAGATTAACGTGAAAGACCCATCGATCCCCGGCAACGTTAAGGTGAGCGGTCAAGCTTTGAGTTCGCCAATCAAATTGGGGGAGCTATGCGAAATTTATATCGACACGTCTTCTGCGGGCAGCGGTAATAAATTTATACCTATTTATTTTGATAGAAAAGATATCAAAAAAACTCCCATGGAAATGTCCACCCCTACCTAACACCTCTCTAAATTTGGTATAGGCATCCTTACTCATTTTGTATATCATGTCAATGATGTTGCCTGTGTTCTTAAAATATTTTCAACAAGTTTGTCACCTCGTATAAACAAAAAAAATTCATAAATTATTCAACCTTTCCCCTTTTTGATTTTACCCCACCAGGAGAATTGAACGTTGTTGTCGAAGATAGCAAGCGACAAATCCTTAAAACGTCTCTTAAGTCTTGCAAGATCAATCCAGCCGATACCGGAATAGCTGAAAATCACGTGGTCGAATTTTTGCCACGAGATATTGGGACTCATTGGGTCAATGTCTACTTCGATCAGGTCAAAGTGGTCGGCAGTCCCTTTCAAGTTACATTTTTATTCCCCTTCCTTTATCTTGTATTATAGTAATATATTATACCATTTCGGTTAAGTTTCTTATTGGCTGAAATATTCATAATTAAATACATTTTGATTTTGACTCCAGTGTTTGTCACGTGACGAGGTTAGTAATTTTATAAGTATATAACGCTATAGCACGGCTTTACCATGCTTGAAGACGTGCCCTGGCTTGAAATGCTAAAAAAAATCCGAGTAGACAAGATATAAAACACGAGCGCCTTTAAGTTCTTGGACCAGGTAAGCCATGACGTCAATCAAAAATATATATTTAAGACTAATTCTCCTATATTAGCTTTGTTAAACGGCTCGTTTTGAGCGGATTTTTTAAATATGCATAAAGATTTTTTTCCCGTAGATGGCACAAAGGTTTGAACATCTGTTAGAGAAATCTCGAGACTAACGCTATATTATTCCAAGCTAAAATATTGAGTCAGCCGTTTTTAAAAATCTACTCAAATCTGGCCGTTTGACAACACTATTCTATAATGACGATTTTTCCATCGATTAATCAATATATAATCAATAATATAATTGCAGGTAAATGTTGAACATCGATTGGAAATTTCCGCGATCAAGATCTTGGATCTAGAACCTAGTTTAAAACAAATCGATATAATTTGCTTATACTTTATATTTCGTTTAAATTTTCTGAATAATAAAATTCGATAAATATTTATGAAATATCTCGGAATTTATACAATAATAGTTTATCTAAATTACGATATCTCGTCTCCTTAGGGAGTTCCCTTATATATTTGGATGAGTGTAAGGGTGAGAATAATTTTTTTTTATGATTTGATTATGATAATCGTCTCGATATTATATTTTTTTAACCGGCACATGCCAAATCACGCCAAACATAAATTAATAACAAACTTATCTATTCCAAATTTGAATATTGATTTAGAAAATGATTATTTTTAAAATTTTTTTTTTATTCTATTATCTCTTTTCAGAAGTGTTGATCGGTTCGGCGGCCGAAATAACGGTAGACGCTACCGCCATCGAAAAAGATCCTATCAGCGCGGGTCCCGCTAACGTGATGGAGAATTCTACCCCCGTCAAATGCCTTATACACTTCCCCAGCACTGATAAGTACTTCGAAGCTTACGTGGAAAGAAAACGTCGCGGAATCTATGTCGTGTATTTCAATCCCAAAGAAGAAGGTTTCCCAAATCTATCCTATAATCTATTAATTTGCACTCCTAGTGTAAACTTAAACAATGTGCAAATGCATAGTAATACTTTAAAGAAAGAAAGAAAAAGAAAACTTATCTTTGACATCTTAAATGTTCTCATAAACACAATAAACTACTTGTAGTAGGATGAAAATTCTACCCTCCAGTTTTAAATTTCCCCCCCCCCCCCCCCACCTTCACCAATTAAAACGTAATCTTTTGCTTTAATTTTTTTAGTAGTAATTATTTTACACTGTGAAACTAAGTATGTATCTTGTTACAAAATGTATACTTGGACGATATTTTTTTGAAATATATTGGATATGTGTGAAAAAAATTAGCTTTCTTAAATTTTCTTCAGATAACCTATGTAAGAAGAAATATTGTTTAAGAAAAATGGCTAGCGTTTAGATCATTTTAAATATAAAATTGGCTTGCACTCCTCGTAATTCCCCCTCCCCCTCACCCCAATTTTTTGGGGAGACAAGGGGCAAATTTCCCCAGTTTATAAAGGGCGATGTCTTTATAGTATAAAAATAAAAAAAATTGTTTAATTGTATCAAGGTGTATACGCGTTAGATTTTTCCTACGATGACATATCGATATTGCCAAAGGCGTTCGAGGTTACGGCCAAGATTGGATGCGACCCTTCAAAAGTACGCGCGTTTTAAAATAATGTATTATAGAACCTTAGACGTACAGATCCAAACCTAGCCTGATTTTTCTTTTCAAAATGGAATTTAAAAATAAATTTTATATATTGGTTTTTTAATATGTTTTTTTTGTTTCTTTTTTTAATAGTTATTTTTTATTCCAAATCTACTAATTCTCTATAACCATTCCCTTTTGATAATCTATTAGAGAGCAATTTTTAATAAAACGAAGATTTTATGAATAGCTTTTCCAATATTTTACGAAAGATTTAATTTATTTTTGATAAACAAAAAGGTTAAAGCATCCGGTCCAGGTCTGATCCGGGGTACAGTGAACGCCCCTTGCGTTTTCGCCGTAGATACCCGCAAAGCAGGGAGGGGTGGATTGGGACTCACTATAGAAGGACCATCGGAAGCTAAAATGAATTGCGGAGATAATAGGTTTTTTCCTCATTTTTTTCGGGAAATGGTGAGGAAATAAATTCGATCCCTTAACCAAAAAAATCTTTCGATACCGTTTTCCATTACCGATACATAAATTAACTCTAATACCATACCAATCTTCGATACCGTTTTCCATTACCGATACATAAATTAACTCTAATACCATACCAATCTTTCGATACCGTTTTCCATTACCGATACATAAATTAACTCTAATACGATACCCGCGATACATGATATTTACAATATTTTTTTAAAAAAAAACTCAAAAAGTGTGTCCTAGCTTATTTTCTGAATAATTTTCTATTCAGAATTGAGATTTAAGGATCTCAATCTCAAAAAAATGCCTTTTTATGAATTTATATTTTTTGGGAAGTAGGGATGGTACTTGTTCCGTGGCCTATTATCCGACTGCCGTTGGCGAATACGAAGTGTCTATCAAGTTTGACGAGATTCACGTGACAGGTAATATTATATAAAATAAAACTGATATAGATAAATTTTTCATTTCAAGGATACGAAAAACTTTCTAACTTTTAACACCGAAATATTATATTTGGATCTCTACCATTTATTATAATAATTTTTGGGTGATTTTTTGCTGTTTTTTATAGTTTAATCCTGTTTTTTATAGTATTTTTTAAAAAAAAATTTACCACTACAATTTTTATGGAAAATATAATCTATCAATTTTTTTTGAATGTTTTAATAATTTTGTTAAAATAATTTTTTAGTATATATTTTTTTTTGTTTCTTTTTTTTTACACTCTCCCCCCCCCCCCCCCTTTTTTTACATTTGAAAAAAAACGGTTATTTTGTTTTATATGTTTTTTTTCTCGTTTTTTTTACATATTCCTATTATAATATAACTCGTAAGTACTGAAGGTATTGTATGTTACGCTATTCTGGACACTTAAATGGAACATATTCTTGTAAGAAGGTATGAATAAATTTTCCCCTACTACTTCTTCTTAAAATGTTACCAACCAGAATACAAATTGCGTATTTTAATCGAATGACGAAATAATTTGTATATGTTCAAGATAACATTTGATCAGCTGAACAGAATTAAAAGAACCAAAATGTAACCTTGTAACATTATTTTTCTTCAATGGTGCGCATAATATGCAAATGATATTCCATTATTGTTTTTTTTTGTCATAATCTGCGAACCCTTATTAATGACTCAAAATGGTGCCGCCGATGAATATCGAACATTATGAAAATTTGAATGATATCGATGTTTATAAAGTAGCGTTGTTAAAATGGCTCAATTTTTTAAAATGGCTGACCCATATTTTGGCTAAAAAATATTTACGCAAACCTGAAGATTTTACTTATAGATGACACAAAGGTTTATATGTCTTTGAGGTTTGCATCATATTTTTGACTAAAATGTTGGGTTAGTCGTTTTTAAAAATTGAGCCTTAACAACACTATTTATATAGCGTAATCGGAAATTCATATTTTTGCGAACTAAAATTGCTCTATTTTTGCTTGCTCTTATATTATACGACTACAAGCACCGGATATATGCAAGGCCCGAAGTCCAAAAGCCCGTGACCACATTTCGGGCTTTTTACGGGTTGGGTGGTGGCGCCACCCATTTTATTGGCTAAGCTGGCCCGTGAATTTTTTTTATAAAAAAACTTTACAAGAATCCAATTTTATTAAAAGTCGGGTCACGCTGATCTCAATGTCCGATTTTCTTTCAAAAAAATCTCTTTTTTCTAGTAAATATGTTAAGATGGAGGGATACGCACGTGATTCACTATTTTTCATAGGCCTGATCGAGTCCATCTACCGCACTCCCCTTTCCTCCGCAAGATGGCCGGGAGACCCCCTTTGAGATTATCCTTCTCTCCTCGAACAAATATCTACAAATTGCGTTATAACCCCCCCCCCCCCCCCCCCCCTCCCGTACTTCTGGGAGGAAAGTTGTAATAAATATTTGAGCCTTAATTTTTTTTATAATAAAAATAACACTTGATTATTCTTTATCTTACTTACTTTACCTTTTTTTCTAATAAATAGGTTCACCCTTCACTTCTAAAATATATGACCACGTTGATTACGATAAGATCGTTGCCAGAGGGCCTGGCTTATTACCCAGAAATTTTAGGTCCGGTGTGCCTAGCAAATTTATAGTGGATGCATCTAGAACCGGCTCGGGTATTTTGAAGGTCGCCTTAATGGACGCCAAGAGAGGTTAGTTTACTTCGCCCCATCCCTTTATTAGAATCTCATATTATTTAAAAAAATAATATATATAAGGTGTGTTGTGTCCGATTCAACCTACGATCCATCCCATACGGCCCGATATTCCGGGCATAGTTATATCTCCGTCCCCTTCCCCGACTGAAGCCTTTTCACCGGATCTTAACGAGTACAACCCTAATCGTTCGGGGACGGCCGGAATTAAACGCTACAACAAGGGACTGGAAAATGTATACGAAGTCACAGTAGTACCCCCTGCCTTCTCTCCCATTCTCTCGAATGAAACTGGCGCTGGCGCTGCTATCAACAACGCCCGTGGAAGTAATATAATTATCGCATAAATTTTATATAGTCGGTATTTTTTTCACCGCCCTTTATCCGCTTATAATCCGCCAGCAATGGCTTCTTTGCCTCCCCCCCAGGTTATTATTAAAGCAACCCCTTTATTTTCAGCTGCGATTACGAAGACGGATTCCTATTTACAAGGACTCCAGGAGGAATACGTGCTCTCCGTCAAATACAACGAGTTAGAAATCCCAAATTTCCCGAAACGTTTAGCCCTCCTGCCAGCCTTCGAACCCGAAAAGGTTAAGATCATGGGGCCAGCCTTCATGATGGGCCTATGCACCAATAAGGACGCTCGATTCGAAGATTTCGATTTCTCCGATTTGGGTGGATTGAAGAAATTATTTAGCGGTATAGAAGGAGCGGGAAAAGGGAAAGTTTACGCCTCGCTTCCGTCTCATCTTTGTATCGATGCCAGCCAGGCGGGCGTAGCGGATATAGATGTCGTAGTGCAGGTTATTTTTTAATAACATTAAAATAATAATTAATATATTATTTACTCATATTTTTATAAACATTCATCGGGTTACTTAATTAAAAGTGAAATGTAAAATATTGTAAATGTAAATAAAACTTCAAATATTAATTACACAAAAGGTGCCGTTGGTAAGCGTTGTTTAAAATCCTAGGTTTAGTCGATATTTTGTGAACCGCGAATTTAAGATTTTATAAGCTAAAAATTATTACCTTACCCTCGAGAATTTCTTAAAAGATGTCTGCCAGCACGTGGCCTAGAGTTTTAGGTAATATATGTTCTGGATAAAATCTTGATTTCGACGTTTTTTTTAAAAAAAAACATTACTGTTGACTACAAAAAAATTATTTTATTTTTTCTACACAAATTAATCTTATGCTTGTAATTGCCCTTACTTATTCTTGGAGTAACGAATCCTCCAGCTTCCCTAACAACTGTTCTCTTGGTTCTTCCTGCCTGGCGGCAAAGAACTATACAAATTGATTATCGTAAATGCCCTTATTCTTGGAGTAATGAATCCTCCAGTTTCCCTAACAGCTGTTCTTCGACTGCTAGTTGCACCGCCCGGTCCGATCCGATAATTTTTAAAAGCTAAATAGCGGGTACCGGTCCTATAAAATGTTTAATATCGGCACAGTCCTAATTTATATAAAACAAAAATTAGAAATCTTAGGTAAAATAACGTGATTGGGAGTAATTATTATTCCTGACGTTTTCGATTGGTTGTTCCGCTTGCTGATTCCTAGAAAAGACTTTTCCATAAAAAGCCAAAATATAACACACTTTTTCTTTCCTTTTTTTTAAAAGTTTTATTTTCTAAAACCAAAATTATATTTATTTATTATTATTTTTTTTATTTGGGGGGGGGGGGGAGGCAAATTTCAGGCCTTTTATACCCGGGTGCAATAAAATAATACATAATTCTTTCAAAATAAAATAAAAGAAGGACTTTATCACGAGTCAAGATTAAACATGCGCTGTTACAATTCCAAATTATTGCTCATAAAAAAAATATAATAATAAATATTTAAAAAAAACAACCGACGACACCTCCCACCCTTCCCAATCCCAAGTTCTATATTGGTGGGGGAAAGGTCTCCGGCTAGAATAATTCCTCAAGTTCCTGGGCACCCGGTCCCAGGTCCAGGAACTCTTCTGAGTCACCGCCCGTCTCCCCGGAACCTCCATCCATCGGTTGGCTCCGTGGCTGGGCTCCCGAAACCTCCACGATGCTTTGACTCCCACTCCCAATCCCCACGGAAAACAGGACTCATCATGTGTCTTATAAACAGTATAATAAAAAATAAAACGTGCGCCATTGTTATAATACCAAATTTTGTCTAAAAAAAATTAATATTACGCAAGCCTTGAGATTTTTCTCGAAGATGACAAAGGTTTGGACATCTGTTAACGAAATCTCGGCGCCTGCGTAGTATTTTGTAAGATGATTACCGTTTTCCTTGGATAGAAGAGATAGATAAAGAATTAGACAAATGGCTTAAAGAAGGAATAATAAAAGCAATAGTGCGTAGTGTATGGGCAACACCTTTAGTTCCCATAAGAAAACCGGATAACAGTTTAAGACTGTGTATAGACTATAGAGTACAGGTTAACCGATAGAGGAAAAATATCCGTTACCGAGAATAGAACAATTAATGGCTAATTTAAAAGGAGCAACAATTTTTTCGAAAATAGATTTTTCTAACGCTTACTTGCAAATTAAGGTAAGTGAGAAGACAAGTAAGATATTAACGATTACAACGCATAGAGGATTATTTGCTTTTTGGCGTTGTTTACCATTTGGTTTGAAAGTATCGGCTCCAATATTTCAAAGAACTATGGCGGCGTTATTTCAAGGAACAAAGGGAATAATGTATTATTTAGATGATGTTTCGATATGTGGTAGAACAGTAGAAGAACACAATACTAGGTTAGTTAAAGTATTATATATAATACTAGAAAATGGTTTAAGAGCTAATACGAATAAGAGCGTTTTTGGAGTAAGGGAAATAAAGTATTTAGGACACATTATAAATGGAAATGAAATTACTCCAATTGCAAAGAATATAGATAAGATAATGAACGTGAGGAGAGCACCAAATAATAAAACGGAAGTACAGGCGTTTTTAGGGGCTACGAATTATTATCATCGTTTTGTTCAAAATTTTGCAGAGATTGCCAGACCGTTGTACGATTTATTAAAGAAAAATAAAAGGTTTAAACGGGGAGAAGCCCAGGAGGAAAGTTTCGAAAAATTGAAAATAACGATGGTAGAGAAGCCGATTTTAAATTATTTTAATGAGAATTTAAATATTTTATGTTAAGTTTAAAATGAAATGCCGAATAAATCTCACTAATCTATCAATGGATAAATTTTACTTTAAAAATTACTTTGTTTAATAATTTTATAAAACAATACAAAACAAAAAAAATTGATAATGGTAATTTTTATAACATTTATTCTCTTTTTATACCTACAGAAAATAAGAATAATATAAAATATAACTAAAACAGACCACACTCTCCGTCGAATGTTCTCTTCTTCCTACGGCTACATTCTCGCTACATTTTCTACTCTATTGTTTTCTTCCGGCATGGTTAAAGCTTCGTTATTGATAGTCACGATTTGAATACTGCAATATCGCATCAAGTGATCACCTCCACGTAGCCAACACTGTCGGGTTCTTGGTCTATTGTACGGATGATTTCTATTTCTCATTTCGGCTCTTGCACTTGGATGTTCCCTTACGTCATTGATCATCTCCCCATACAATCTGTTCGCTTCTTCTCTCTCCAGTCTGAGCCACTTCCTTGATATTATTTATCCATCTATCATTCTGATCTCTATTCTTAGGGTATAATTTCCTACTCTAATATATGTTGACATCTACAAATAAAATTACTACGCATCAAATATTATTCTTTCTATTCTTCTATTCCAAAATTTATCTTTTATGACCTAAATTTTATTTCTGACAATTTTTATTCCATCTTCTTTTTAAACATCAATTTTGTTTACTTCCCAAAATTTTCCTTTCTACATATAATTTTGTTTTCTTCCCAAAATTTTCCTTCCTATTTACCTTCTAATCTCGGCCGTATTTGTTTTATATGTCTAGGCCATACACTTACTTGTCCTTCAATGTCTATTTCTAATTTCTTTTTTTCTAAGTTTTTCCTTATTACACCAGGAAAAAGAGATAAGTAGAAAACAGATAGAGATTGAAAAATATCCAGTAGGTAGTCTTGTCTGATATTGTTGTTTGATGGTCCTATTAAATGGGGGAAGGGATCACTTGATGCGATATTGCAGTAATCAAATCGTGACTATCAATAACGATAACCATGCCGGAAGAAAACAATAGAGGATTAGAAAAGGTAGCGAGAATGTTGCCGTAGGAGAAGAGAGCTAAGGAAGGGAGGTGTAGTAAATTTGAATAAAATAAAAGAAAAAAATTTTTAAAGGAAAAAAGATTGTTTTGAATATTTATAAAAAAATGTTTATGTTATATTTTATATATTCTCATTTTCTGTAGGTATAAAAGGAGAAGAAATGTTATAAAAATTACCATTATTAATTTTTTTGTTTTTGTATTGTTTTATAAAATTATTAAATAAAGTAATATTAAATTAAAGTAAAATTTATCCATTGATAGATTAGTGAGATTTATTCGGCATTTCAAGTAAAATATTCCTCATTATATATACTTTTCAAATACTATTTATTTGCATAGTGTTTAAAACAACAAGCTTAAATAATCTTGAACTTTATCCAATCTGAATAATACATCTTTTTTTCATCATTTTTCTTTAACTCATTTGAATATGACAACATTATGTTGGCCGATATCTTAATTTAAAATCTGCGATTGGTTTAACTACACTGGGTTCTTGGGCAAGTTCGTGAAATATGCAATGGGATTATAATCTGTTTATCATTCCATATTAGGAAAAATCTTTATATACAAATTTAACGAGGAAAAAAAATTAATCATTTCGGAAAAATTTGTTTTTTGATAATTTATAACTCAAATTACCTCTTCAAATATAATTTTTAATGTATCAGCAAATAATGATGCATTAATTAAATTACCGCTTCAAATATAAAGTGAATGAGCGAAACTAATGACCCATTCTAGTCATAATATCATGAATTTTTATATAATCATATGTGTAATAAATGAAAAGGATCCTCAGGGCAGACGACTCCCAGTTCACCTATCCTCCCCTCGTACCAATAAACTCGCTACCACGTGGCATAACAATCACGTGTTAGAGGCTGACGACGATTCTGGCCTGTCCTATTACCGATTTACGCCGCACGTAACTGGGCATCACGTGGTTAATGTAGCTTATTTAGGTTCGGAATTTACGCATAATATTTTCTCTCATTAAAAAAAATTAGATGAGAATGAAACCAGAGTTTGATACCGGAAACCCTTGAACCCGGTAAAATATAAGACGGAACATTCTAAAATTTCTAAAACCGAAACCGGTTTCAACCAAATACCTTGGAACCGGATCAGATGTAGGAACACGAGCTTATTTTTAAAATTACGAACCGGAAATGTAACTCACTCAGAAAATTATTTAGAATCAAAACCGGAATCAATTTTAGTCAGTGTTCTGAAATTATATTTTTATATTTAACCGATAGTTCCAATCTGTTTATATCTCGTTATGAATGCAATTTAATTTACAGGATACGCCGAAATGTCACGTTTGGAATTCGAAGCTTGGCCCGTAGGAATGGCTGAAAAGGCGACCGTGCTAGGTAAAGAGAGAACGTTTTCAAAATTAACTCTACCATTTAAATAAGTTGGCGTACATTTTGAGGGATAGGTGGGGTAAATCGAATCATATATGCTTGAATCAAATTAATGAGTGGCGTAGATCAACGATATAAAAATCACGTCCCTACATAACTCTTTAAACACGTGACTTATTAATAAATAATGACAATTTTTGTCGGTTGGCTCATGTATAAAAAAAAATAATAAAAGAATAATCCTTACATTAACTTCATTCGAAGTCTACCCTAGAATTAACTGTAAAACCATGTAAAAAATGGAATTGTAAGAATAGATATAAAGAAAGAAAGAAGGAAAGAAAGAAGGAAGGAAAGAAAGAAAATATAGTATAGATCTTGGAAAATGATTCGTAGACATAACATCTGCTGAGTAATATAGTGTTCTATATCCAATTTTTCGCAAAATATTTTTTTTTCCCCCCTACAAATCAATCCTTCAGGTCGTGTCCTAAGTTCGACTTTGTACTAAATAGCCAAAAAAAAATCAAAAGAAAAAATTTAGAAAAATAACAAAAAAAAATGAAAATAAACATAACCAAATGAACAAAAAAAAACGAGAATACAATATGAAAAATAACGATGCCGCCAAATTCTTAAAACAAACCAAAATAGGGTGTCTTAGCGCCAAAGCTTTTAGCATATACTAAAAAAAGTTCACTAAGTATCAAAATTAAATAGACCCAGGACATGGCCTCAGTTAGCGTTGTTAAATAGTCGAGTTTTTACGACTTGTAACTCGAGTCGTACTCGTAGAAGACGGTTCCGACTCAAGCCGATCAAGGAACGCCGCATGAGCCGGCTCGCTTAGTCGACTCGCTGGGTCGGCGTCCATTTTTATAAACGGCTAACTCAAATGTTTGGTGGGTTACAATGTGAACAAAAATTATGAAAAAGACATTATCTCCATATTGTTTTTAAGAATATTTGTGTCGAAACTAAAAATGGTTCTGCGACCGAATTCGGGTTCAGGGATTTTAGACTTTAATTTGGTGGACATTTTGTTAACGTGAAACTTATTCGGAAACCGGTTTTCTAAAAAAAAAGAGTTTGAATTTGCCCCGATTCTTATTACCCCGGGTTCGAGGTTACTCCTAGATTGGTCTCTGAAAGCCCAATTAAGATTTCTGAATCGAGCTCTCTTGTAATATCTTGCACGATTATATCTTTCGAGTTTTGACAAGGTAAAACTTCTTAACTCAAGAAGAATAAACTTGGAAAAACAGTAGGAATTCACTTCTAGAAGTTTAGTTCATCAAAGAATCCTAAGTACATATAATTTTGTTTATTAAACACCATTCAGTTAAAATATCTATTTTATAGCTTTTTTTATTTTTACTAAATATGATCTTTATTTATGGAATAACTTGCAATTTACATTTATATTATATGTAATATTACAGATGAAATATGCTAAAATATTAATATTATTTATTTGCAAAAATTTTTCCTTCAAATTTAAAATATTTATGTCCCATGAATTTACCGATAAGGCATTGTTTGGGAGTTGTAGACGACATTCTATTTCCGTTTTTTGGTAAGGGCATTGGCAGCTCGGGAAAATAACCTTTCGCTGGCGACCGATGTTGTTTGTTGTCCCAAATTTCGTAATCCATTTCCGACATTGAACTACACCTAGAAAACTGAGTGTCACTCTTTACAAAATTATGAGAAAGGAATAATGAAATAAAAATAAAGATTGAGGATTTATTTGGCGGATCCAAGTGGCAAAAACGACAGTGGATGTTCTTAGCTGGTGGTCTGGAAATTCCAAGAGATTTCCAGTTATCGACTATGGCTAGAGATTATATAGGGCAACAAACTACATCGGTTGCCAGCGAAAGGTTATTTTTCCGAGCTGCGCCCTTGCCAAATAACGGAAATAGAATGGTGGCTACTACTCTCAAGCAATAGCCTATCGTTCCAATCATGGGATATTAATATTTTAAATTATGGAAGATTTTTGTAAATAAATTATAATATTTGCATTAAATTGTAAGTTATTTCATAAATAAAGATTATATTTAGTAAAAATAAAATGCATCCCTATGCAATGAAGAATGCGTGTTATCCAAGTCAGCCATAAAATAGATATTTTAACTAAATGGTATTTAATAAACAAAATTTGTACTTGTTTTCTACGTTTATTTTTCTTGAGTTCAGTAGTTTTACCTATGTCAAAACTCATAGAGTTATTAACGAGAAAGCTCGGTTCAGAAATTTTAAATTGTTTGTTTGGGCATTTCGAGACCAGGGACCAATCTAAGAGTAACCCTTCGAACTCGGGGTAATAAGAATCGGGGCGTGTTCCAACCTCTTTTAGAAAATTGGGTTTTTTTTAAGTTCACGTTATCAAAATTTCTACCAAATTAAAGTCTAAAATCCCTGAACCCGCATCTAAGTTAGCCGACTAAGCGAGTCGAATAATGGGGCCCATTTAATCGACTTTCGGAGCCGTTTCTTCAACTAGAAACTTGGCAGCTAAGTCGACTCGGCTATGCCGTTTAACAACACTAGCCTCAGTATCGTATTCTTCCATATCACCGATAAAAATGCTAAAATATAATTTAGAATAATTCTTTATTGGCATTATTGTGGTGTCTGATTTCTTAGCTAAAATAGAAGAATTTTTTTAAAAAAAATACTCTGGCAAATTATGATAGATGGTTATAGAACAATATAACACTCAACAAATGATAAGTGAAATCTAGTGGGCATTCGAATCGATTAAAATAAGACATCTTTTTTATATAATTTAGAAAATTTCCCTCGCGATACCAAACCTATAAGGATCAAAAAGAAATGGGAGCAGTGCTTCAAAGTGGACGCTTCAAAATCTAGCCTGATTACGGACGACGTCACCGCTAAAATCACCTGCTTAGCCACCCGCCAAAAAAAGGTTTGCTTCCCGACTTTCGATAAAATAAATTAAACGCTCCTTTTTTTTCCCTCCTTATCTCACTTAGAACGCCGGCTCGATATCTCCTCTCGCCGAAAAATATTCCTCCGTTAACGTGCTAGAGGAATGTTCGGACGTGGTGGATAACCTGGACGGGACCTTTACGGTTTTTCTGAATTTTGACGACGTCGGATTTTATAAAGTCGAAACGAATTACGGAGGTCGGCCCGTGCCTAAAGGGGACTTTGAATTTTTGGTTAGTTTTTTTTTTAAAAAAAATATATTTTTTAGCGTAACTTTCCGAGGATTTACTTTAAGAGAACAATCATATGATTGCTACCGATTTTTCTAATACTTTGGGTGTAGCCTAAAATCTTTCTTTTTTCTTTTTGCTCCAATATGCGAACATCGACTGCGAAAAAAATTTGTTAGGTGGAAGATTGGAGCGATGAGGAGTCCTCCTACCACCAATTGATCGAAGAGGAAAGGTATTTCAAACAATTGACTCAATTCGCCGAATTCAGGACTGTCGAGTTCACGTTGCCGCCCTTACCTTTCGCCAATTCGGACGATATGATAGACGTGCTGCCTTATCTCGCCCTGACAGGTGACTTTTTTAATCTCGATTTTATTTACTTTTTTTTCATTTTACATATAATCGACTAAATAAAGTAATAAAATCAACTAAATAATGCCATTTTTTAAAAATTTTTCGCGAATAATATGCCAAAATTAAGCCTTTTAAAGGGCTTACCGTGACATTGATTTATTGTTGTAGTGTACTTGATTTTTTTTAAGTCTTATTAAGTATGCCCGTAGCGGAAGTTAGCTTGCGGAATAAAATTATATTTCTTTCGTGAATTAAAAAAAAAAGGTATATAAACTTTTCCCGCCCGAACGCTTCGAATTTCTAGTCCCCTTAAATTTTATAATTCAAAATTAGCTTTTAATTTTTTGCGTATCGCTAGTAGCTTCGCGGGGCGCGAAAGGTCTCTTTTATACTAATGACGTATTGCGTGGTATTTTTCAAAAGTAAGCAAATAATATGTATAATTTATGATCTATTATCGAATGCATTTCACTATCATTTGCTTGCGTTATGAAAAATACCCGAAAATGCATGTCAGATCGCCTAAGCGATATCTACGCTAACGACGCCACTGCTTTTAGCGGCTTTTTTAAATTTCCGTATATAAACGTTTATCCGCGTGTAGTTATATATTTTTAAGTCCTTTCGAAAAATTAAATCCTAAAAATTTCCCGCTCTTTTAAAAGGTATGTTCCAGAAATAAACGTTCTAAATATTGAGGTGAATCTTCTAAATTTGAATGATTCGACTCTTTTTCAATCTCTTCATCTTAAATTTTATCATTTTCTTTTGATTAAATAATAATTCTCTTTTTCAATCTTTTCATCTTAAATTTTATCATTTTCTTTTGATTAAATAATAATTCTCTTTTTCAATCTTTTCATCTTAAATTTTATCATTTTCTTTTGATTAAATAATAATTCTCTTTTTCAATCTTTTCATCTTAAATTTTATCATTTTCTTTTGATTAAATAATAATTCTCTTTTTCAATCTTTTCATCTTAAATTTTATCATTTTCTTTTGATTAAATAATAATTCTCTTTTTCAATCTTTTCATCTTAAATTTTATCATTTTCTTTTGATTAAATAATAATTTCGATAGAGAATTTTTTTTTATATGAATTTAACGATTACAATTTAAGTTTTGAAAACCGGCCCGAAACCCGATCGATTTATGAACCGTTTCCCGAACTCTAATTTAATTAGAGTTCGGTTTATAAAGCAAGTTGGATACCGACAGGTCCGAAATTAGGCCGGTCCAACTAGAACCTATTTTTTTTAAAAAATTTTTTAGACCCGATACAAAGTTTATCGAATTCCCAATACTTCGAATTCGAAATTTTTATAATGATTAGTCGCCTATACCTTATTTTTGATCTATTCCTCTTCTCCGTTTATTGGCGATTTCCGGTCCAGGTTGGCCAGTCATCCCTTTTATTTAATCGTCAGGAAATTTTGTGGCAAAGTATTTAACAATCGGGTGCCCTTCCTTACATCAACCCCTTTAGGTGGTTTTTTACGCCCCGTCGAGGAGACGATGATCCTATTCTGGACCAGACCACAGGGAACCTTTTAGACCTCCATTAACCGCCAAAAGACGTCAATGCCGCCTCATCAGATTGTTTTTTTATCGTTTGTAATCTTATTTATTAAAAGAATTATCCGCGGTATAATTTAAATTTGAAGTGTTAGCCGGTCTTGGTAGTGTTGTTGGAAAGCCCGCGATTAAAAATTTTAGGCAAGATAATATAATGTAGACCTCAAGATTTAGCGAATAGATGTCCGAACTTTTTCTGCCAGCCTATGAGGCAAAACCTCCAGTTTTACAATAATATTATTTCGGTTATAACCTTAAAAGGGCCGTTTTTTAAAAATCGACCCGATTCGGGCTTTTTAACAACACTGGGTCTCAGTTGACCTCCGACGTATTATACGAATTACATTTTAAAAAAAAATTCATAACACTACGGGCAAGAGTAAGTCCCACAAGATTGACACCTGTCAAAATCCTATGCGGAGCCTTAATTTAAATAACGGTCATAACATATTATTCGGTAAGTCGCATTTTAAAAATCCGTCTTATTTATTAATGGGATAAATTTTTTTTACGAGCCACGGACTAGAATAGACGCTCGATAATGATGCCCCCTAATTTAAAAACCAAAATTTAAGCGCATTTAAATGGGGATTTTGGGCAGGTTTTTACTCCTCAAGTCGCGTTCGTTCCATAATTCATTTCGCTCCGCCCGTTGTGAACCTTCGCCCAGTTGTATCTTTAAATAATAAAGTATCGATCATTATATACCTATCGGAAGACTCCATATTTCGAGAATCAAGAAAGTTTAATTAAAATGGCGCCATTCATATCGGATTTAAAAAAATGGTTGATTGATGAATGCGTGATTTCGGATCCCAATCGCACCTTTATCTACATTACATTTCATTCTTAATAATTATTTTTTGGTTATCTCTTATCTCAATGACATATAATAATAATACCTAGACTGGCGATGTATTCATTAAAAAGTGTAACATGGACGAAAAACAGCTGGGGACGCCATTTTGGTTACCCATATCGTTATTAAAAAAATTTAAACGAGAAGCCCTATTTCCTATGTCGGACGCGAACTTTATAAAAGAAATTGCCCTGATCGTCGAAATAATAATGGAAGGCAAGTTATCGATTTAAATAGTAGTTTTTTAACACGAGAACAATGACTCTATGGGTTACCGAATAGCCTATTGAAATGTATTTATGATTAATATTTTTGCGAAATAAATTTACGCGCCTTGTCCTATTCGAAGCGAAAGTTTCCGTTAGAGGTCTTGCAATGGGCCGGTTTTTAGCCGGTTTTGCCCGCCAACTCGTTGTTTTTCGAATAATTTAAACCGCCCACCCGGCGCCCGATCAACAATCTGGTTTGGCTTCCATTTAGATGTATTTTTTAATTAAACATGTGATACGCGATATTGAAACGATTTAATAAATAGGAAAATCAAATATTCGCCTGCCAACTCCCGCTCATCGCCTTAAATTTTTTTAACCCGCCCACCATCCGCTAAATGTTGAAAATATTTTTTTAAAAAAACCCTACCATGCCTATTCATAGTATGAGCGGGAGGGCGAAAAATCCGCCCAACGCAGACCTCTAGTTTGCTTAATCTTAAAAAAAAAATAGTCTTGAATTTGTCGCGTAAAATTGAAAGAAATTTGATCACGGATATTTGCTCGACATTAAAATTTTAGATCCCAACTTTTACCCGGAAATAATGCGCATTCATTCATTTTTTTTAAAAAAAAATCTTTTATAATTTTCCTCGTGCAGGAAAAAATCCTTTTTTTTCGGACTAAACGTAATGATAACTCTATAATCAATTCCCTGGCAATTTTAACTTAAAATATGCGAAGCGAATATCCCTAGTGTTGTTAAAAGGCCCGATTTTCGTTGATTTTCTAACGTATATAAGGAGAAAGAATGGAAAGCGAGATAGCTTTTCAGGCCTAGTTTTATGTTTTATCTGATGGAATTATTTTAAAATTTCTTTTCACTTTCACCTTTGGTCGCTCGCAACATATTTCAACAATGGTTTTTTTTATAAGTGAAATCGAGTGTTATTTATTATATATTATCCCATTGTATAATAACTCTTTTTCCCGAGAGGGAACATTTAAATTTGTATGAGGTTATCCTGGAAAACACTTAGTATAAGATAGTTATAGTATCGTACAAGTTAAACTGTTGGTTGAAAGTTTTGTTTGTTTTTTTGCCATATGCTAAATATTCCCCCCCCCCTCCCCTTCCACTATTATTTTTCGGAGATTAATGGCAAAATGGGGAAAAAAATATGAACGTATATTGATGATGTGCGTTAGGAGGTCTTATTAATAATCATATTATTATTATTGTTTGTTCAGTTTTCATCGATTTAACGATAAAGTTAAGTTGAGAAATTCAAAGTTTTAATCCTCGCGGAAAGTGAGCCATTACAATCTAGGGGAGGGGGGGGGGCTAATTACTGCGCGCCACTCATCCCCTAGTATCGCTATTTGTTCGCGGAAAATTATTATAGTCCGTCGATAATTGTATTAATTTTTTTTTTTTCGAATACCTTACCTTCTTATATTACTAAAATATGATATATTCTATCCACCCTCCCTTTCCTCTCCTCGTATTACTCACATCCTCTTTACGATTCCTTCATCGTTCTGGCCCGCTTACACTGCTTTCCCGCTCCCCCTTTCTCCGTCTCTTCCTCGCCTTAATTTCGATTCTTTTTTCTCCATCCATATTTATCCCTTATTCGATCACCCATATCCTGTCTTCTACTTCACCACATTGGGAACTTCTTAATGAGCCAACCCTAGACTACCCTTTCATCTCACCTGACTATCACATCCCTATTCCTCGTTTAACTTATCTTGAACGCAGTCCCTTTGGGATTCGTTACATTACGGTTCTCTTGATCCAATCATCGTCTTCGCCTTTTTCACCCCATCATAGATAGGGCTAACCATCTCGTCAATCTGGGTTCATTTAACCTTTTTGTTCGAACCGCAAGTTGTACCGTTATCGTTCAGCTCGAATTCTCGAAACGGTTAATATCTTGCTATCCTCGAAATTCTCTCGTTCTCCTGGGGTATATTTACCCGATTCGACGGATCCCTAATTTTAAAACCACCCTTTCATATTCTCCACCCTACCGGAAAACATGTTGGTTGCGTTTTCGCAGACCTCTAAATAAGTGTTACCGCGCCTTTTTATTTGGACACGTCTGATTCAAGAAATATTCCTCCTAAATCGTCTTCTCGAGACGCGGCCATTTTTCTAAGCTCTTAAAATTTGAATTTGCGTGACTTCCAACGATGAAATATGCCCCTCCCCCTTCAAACATTTAATTATAAATGATTATTAAAAATTTTATTCGAAAATATTCGGCCGGAAAACTGTGAGCTCTACCCATAGCGGGTTCGGAAGCGGTAATATTAAAAAATTGAGCCGGGTATCAATTACGAATAGTCGCCGGTCAATTCGAATTAACCAGTTGGAGAATCATATGGTGGATACATTCATTCATTGGCTACTCATATTCTTAAATTTTTTCTTTTTTAAAAATTTGTTTTTCATTATCCGGCTTAAAAAACGATTCCGCAGGCGATGCGGAAAGCGGAAAATGTATATTTTTTGAAAATTAAAATATAGATTCGAGTCACTTCTCTCCTCCATCTTTCTCAGAATATAAGTTTGTCTTTTAATTGGATTGCATTTTTTTATAAATAAAAATTTTTGTTGACCATTTTTTTCAAACAACTTGGAGGAAAAATTTCCCATTCTAACCCTGTCCTATTTCCCCCTAATATTATCTACCCTTGAAATATACTATTTCGACGATTTCTGCATTGCATATTCTTCCCATCATTTTTTTTTCGCTTCGAACACCGAAACGCTATTTTTTTTCACGTATTTTTTTTCTTTCTGCTATATATTATTAAATTAATATACGCATGTGAATTATTATTTTATTCGAATTTATTTCGACGTTTTCTGCGAATTCGATTAAAACTTGTATATTCTTCCCGTCATTTTTTTTCCCCTTCGAACACCGAAACGCTATTTTTTTTAGCTTATTTTTTTTCTTTCTGCTATTTTCGTTATACGATATATTGGTATAATTTATTAAATTAATATACGCATGTGAATTATTATTTTATTCGAATTTTTCAAGGCCAAATATATATTTTGGATTTCGATATTCCTTCTTGGCTTGGTCAGTTTTGTCTCGAGAAAAGTTTAGATATTGGCTCGAAATGTTTTAAAACGTGATTGTAAAAAAACTAATAACATGATTTGTGATCCTAATAGAAATGAATTTATTTATTTAAAAAAAAAAATATATTTAAATAAATAAACTACAAAATAATTACATTTATTTAAAGAAATACAAAAGCTCTGAGTCTGACAAGAGAACATATAATGTAACGTTATATAATTAAAACCCCGCCTTTTGACTGGCAGGCACACATTCGCCTTGACATCTTTATCGTGTCAAAATTAAGATGATTTTTGTTTTCATGTGTAATATAATTTCGGTGGTAACAACCGATACCGTGTTTTTTATCGATGTCTTCCATTTACTAAACCCATCTGTTCCGTGCACTCATTATCTTTATAATTTTCCTAATTAGACCTCTTCGAAAATAGAAGTAAATACGAATGTTATATGTGTATAAGAAATGCGTTCCCAAGCCTAAGGAAAGGTCATTTCTACAATTTGTTCCTCAGGTTTTATTACTAGTAAAAGACGAATAGCGGGGGCGTTTTGTTTGGGAAAATCGCGCGTAAATTTAGAAACATTTTTTGTTGTTGTTGATGTTCTATTCGAAAAAAATGGGGTGGTAAGGTGAGACGGGCCGGGCATTAGAGGTCTGCAAATCAAGGCCAGCCGTGTCTATTTTTGACAAATAAATTCGGGCCGGGCCAGGCGGACAAATAATTTCTATTTCGGGTCGGGCTTTTCGGGATAAAAAAATTATTCGGGTTCGGGCCGGATATTATAAAAAAATTTCGGGCCGGTTTTTAAAAAATTAAGAAAATATTTAACCTAATATTTATATTTTCTTTAGCAGACTTGGAAAAGTGAAAGAAACATAATCCTTTTAAAATAAAAATTTGTATGCCATTTGGTTTGTTATTGTTGACTCGAATTACAAAAGAAAAAAAAAAATAAATAAGTGATTTTTTTTAAAAAAAATTTAAATGATTATCGAATTTTTAAAAAAATTAAAAAAAAAATAAAAATAATTACTATTCAAACCAATCAACATGAAAAAAATTCTGATAGCAGAATATTCTTAGTGAAGTTTCTCGGCACTCGGGGGAAAGAAAAATATTAATAAATTCCATTCTTTAGCACGAGAAGGCTTATTATCTAAAAACAAAAAAAAAAAACAATTTATTTGGCGGTGTTTTTTTCCTACGTTTTTTTTTATTTAAAAAAAACAAAAAAATATATAAAAAACACCTCGATGAGTTCGAAATTGATTAGTTCCAAATTTTTGAATCCGGAAAGGGTCGAGGAAAGAAGGACGTCTTCTTTGCTTCACCCGGGATTTTCTGTGTCCAATAAGAAAGGCGGCGGCAAAGGTAATATTTTGTTTATTTTTTAAAAAAATTTAATTTTACCAAATAAAAAGAAAAGAAATGGAAAGAAAGAAAGAAAGAAATGAGTAAGAAAGAAAGAAAGAAATGAGTGACAAGCAAGCCCAAAGAATTTTTGAGTCAACGCTATTTGCCAAAAATATATATATATATTTTTAAGACAGAAGTTCGAAATAAATTTATTCTAATCCCCCCCCCACCCCCTCACTAATCATATTATTTATGACAAAAAAAAAGATAAAATAAATTCCCTAAATATTTTCATGGTCAAAAACAAAAAAAATAACACCGTATGTCGTTTTGGCAACTCGTTTAAATGTCATAATTCGCGAAAAAAAAAGGTTTTCGCAATTTATGAACTGTCAAAAGAAAGAAACTTTTTTTTATCTTTAAAGTAATTCCGATCCAATTTTTAGGGGGGGGGGGTGAAGGGATGAGATTAATTGATCGAAAATTAAAAATTATTTCTTTTTGTCTATTTTAAAATTTATTTTTTTTAAAAAAAAATTATATTTTCCGCGGCTTTTCGTTAAAAAGTTTTTTTTAAAAAAAATATTATATATAAATATAATTTTGCCGCCAAAATAAAAGTAATGGTGAGAGGTTCTATAGACGAAAATTTGTTACATCCGGGTTTCAATTTCAGGACTTCCGATCTGGAAGGCGGTAAGTATATTGTTATCTCTTGCATTACGAAATATTTTGTTAGGGAAAATTTCAAAATTTCAAAATTTTCGTAAATTTATGAAATTTACGAAACGTGTCCCGAATCTTTGTTAAAGTTTCGTAAATTTTGGAATTTATGATTTCTACCAATTCATTTTTATATTTAATACTTCCTGCAGTATTTTTGTTTAACCGTAAAAATTTGACAACTTTAATAATAAAGTGGGCTCAAATTTATTTAAATTTTTATCAATTTCTCAAACTTTTAAAACAAAAATTTTTTTTACATTATAGATTGCTTATTTCTTCTTTTTTTTTCGTTAAAGTTACGGAAGTTATTAAAGTTATATTGAGTATTAGGGTCAGTCACACCCTAAAATGGCTAATCGCTCGTTGATCCCTTCCATAATTAACGCTAGAGAAAACATTATTTTATGATCTTATTCTGGTTTGTAATATACTTTTTAAATTTATTTTAAGACTTGGATAATAGGCTTTAATCATGGGATTATCCTCTACATTTTTTTTTTATAGAACTTATTTTATTTGTATATAATTTATTTAAACGGTTTTTAGCAAAGTAAAATTGATGCTAGAGGCCCTAGCCTAAGATTAGTATTTCTAAGAGCATCTTAGAAAACTCGACCTGGGGTTTCATTTTTTATATTTTATTTTTGTAACTTCGCGGCTTAAGGCTAGATATATCAATATGATGAATTACTTTAAGGTGTATTCCTCGGGGGCTCTGTAGAAGCTCCTACCAGTGTTACTAAACGACCAGATTTTTGCCAATTTTGAATTAAGATTCTAGTCAAAATTATATTACGCGAGACTCTAGATTTTGTTTAATTAGATGGTCTTAACTGTGTCATAATCCTAGAGATTTCGCTAATAGGGTGTCTGGACCTTTGTGCCATCTATGAGCGAACTCTTCAGGCTTGTGCGATATTATTCTGGATAAAATATTGAGTCCAAATCGAGCCATTTAAAAAGACTAACGGGAAGAAAATATTTCTATATATGCCGCAAATTTTGATTTTCATAATTGTATTTTTTCTTCTTTTTCCTATACAACGGGGTTGCCCATACACTATATTCCACTGGAACAATAATACCATCCTTAATCCATTGATCCAACTCTTCGTCAATTTCCTTTTCCCATTCAAAAGGAACTCGTCGACATGCTAGGAAAATGGGTGAAAATCCCTCCTTTAATTTTACATCCACAGCAGGTCAAAATTTGTTTAGGTAGAAAAAAAAAAATGAGAAAGATGGAGGTGGCGGTCGGTTTAATATTGTAAAAAAAGGGGGGGAGTATTTAAATCGGTGACCAAAACTTTCGAGAAACCTAATTTTGAAAAAAAAATAAATATTAAGGGTTCTTTAAATAAATAAATTCTGATTCCAAAAGTAAGGAAGAGGAAATCTAAATTTTTAATCCATTTTCACCCCCCCCCCCCCCATCTTTCCTGCGTGATCCAAAAAGCAAAAATAAGAAAGAGTCTTAACATATTTTAAAGCCCTTCTAGCACATGTGAAGCGTACGAAAAGAGTAGGTTGTTTTCTGGACCCTAATTTAGATGCACCATGGGATACGCAACATAGATAAAGGTTAATGGGCGAGAAATACTAATTGACAAAAAACGAAATCGAGTCAAATTAAATTTGTTTGTATCCTTTATATTTTTATAAACAAACATAATATTATATAAACTAATAATTTAATAACTTTTAGGCCCGTTATTCGAGAGTTGATAGTTATTTTATGACCAACCAATAGAAATCGAGAAAAAAAAATGAGTGGCATAAATTAATTTAAAATGGCCACCACAGATGATATGATTTTAAAACAAAATATATCATATACGAATGAAAAATTGACGATGCCCAGAATGTTTATTCCTAAGGGTTATCAAATTTAAATTACATCCCCCACTTAATAATATTAAAGTAAGATTTTTTTTTTAAAAAAAAAGTAACGTTTTGTAACGTTTTAAAAATGACCATAATCCCCCACCTGTTGCGTATATAAAGAAAACCGCTTAATATTTACATTTATTTTCTTTTAGCGGAGATTAAAGGCCCCAGCGGAAAATTAGGCCTTCCCAAGGTGACCAGCAACACCGACGGAACTATCAACCTCAAATATCACCCTACCGAAGCGGGTTTGCACGAAATCGATATCAAGTTCGAGAAGGAACCTGTCCAAGGTATTAAAAACATTTCATAACTTTGAATATTATGCTTTGGCGAAAAATGTTTACTTCTCCCTCCCCCCAATTCAATAAAATCAAGTCACTACCGCCATCTTATTAATGGCGGTAGTGACTTAGGGATATGGTTGGGGGTATTGCCTAAAATCTACCTAATCTACAGGTTAGCATTGAGGCCGGCGCGGTTTATAAAAAAATTTGGGGGGAGATTATGATTTTTTGGTCCAGGAATTTGCCGGCTAAAAAAAAAATCTTTCTTTCTTCCTTCCTTCCTTTCTCTCTCAAAAATTAAAACATGTTTAAAATTAAAATTTTAAAATTTGCGAAAGTTTTGAAACTTTTTTAATTTTTTCTTTTAAATTTCGGACATAGCCTTAAATGAAAATAATGAAGATCAAAACGAGCTAAAATAAAACACGGCTCTCTATTTTCCACCAAGATCCGATTATTACAACCGGAAGGTCACCAGTAGGTATTTTCACTAATGGGACCATAGGCAAAAAATTTTTAGGATTGAAAAAAAAAATTCCCAAATTAATGGCGATCATGGATTCTCTTTTAAACTGTTTCCGATCAACTCTAATCTCCATGTTCCCAACCATCTTAGTTTCCTCGGATCTCGATGGCAGACTCTCATTATCCCCCCCCCCCTCTCTTATATGTTTTTATTTTTTATAAACATATTATACTATATAAATGAATGAATGAATGCGTTAAATGCCTTCCAAAATTCTCCGATTGTATTTAGTCTCGAATGCTATCACATAAATTAGATAAAATCGTCTTTCGTTCAACTTTACGCAATTGTTGTCATTTTATATTAAAATTTTTTTTTTGGCATACAGACTTTCCTGGATGAATTGAAATGTAACCTTTTTTACTAGGATCAAAATGGTCATTCATTCATTTTTCGTTAAATTTGCGAAATGGCTGTTATTCTAATTTTTATCTCGGTTTTAATATATCAAACAGATTGCCAAACCTCTTCATAAACACCTGATCGAACGTATATCCTTTAGGATAACATTATCGTCCAATCAGAATGCGCGCTTTCTCTTATTTATTTATTTATTTATTATTCTGAACAAGATTTGATGGCTATTTACTAACTCGAAAAAAAATTACTTATTTTTATAACTCGAGATCTAAGTAGGGGTAATGCGAAATAGCGATTTGCATTGGGCCTAATTTTTCAAACCCCACCCGACCTGTAACTTTTTGAAAAAGTTTGTCCTACCCTATCTCGAGCAATTTTTGTCCCGACCCTAAGCCCGGCCCGGCCCGGCCCGGTCCGAAGTTTTTAAAAAAATATTAGACCGAACCCGAACCGAAATAAACCCCCCGAGCCGTGATTCGCAGAGATCTCTATTGTAAAAATATATGATTTTTTTTTGTGTACATCTCATTAACCCTGCCTATCCGCCCACCACATGTGTGTGTGTGTGGGTTGAGCGTATTTTAAAATAAATTTTTAAATTTAAAACCACAATAACTCAAAAACCATTATTTTTTAAATGATGACCACGTCACACGTCAATTATTCAAATTTGAAATATGGCCGCCAATAATTTTGAAACGAATCGATAAATATTGGCCACTTTTTTAAATCAACTAACTAAAACGGATTTTTTTTTTAAAAAAAAGGCCGTGTTCTAGAAATTTTATTTTTATATATAGATTTTTTTTAAAAAAAACGCGGGAGATTTAAAAATCCCACCCCCCTTTTCTGATTTCTCGAGGGTTAAAATCGCGCGTAATATTTTCTAATGTTCTGTCTGACGTATCTACGAATAATTTTAATTTATTTTCTCCAAACTTTAAAATTTTAGTTTTTTTTTATTCTTATTTCCTCCACAAACTTTAATTTTAATTTATTTTATTATTTTCTCCTAATCTTAGTAAATAATGCCTAAGGACAAGGCTATCCAGATTTTATTATTTTTTAAAAAAAAAAAATCACCTGTCCTTTTCCCCAACAAATTTTTTTTTTACGGATCATAAAAATTTGTGTCGGTAAGAAAGAGGTCATATTTTTATGAGTAATCTGAATGAAATGTCATCAGATTTGCTGCACCCCTTCCCCCTCCTTGCCGCTTAAAATGATTTCCGGTTATATTTTTGGCAGCGGTCATTGATCATCCCGCGCCATTTTTCCCTCGCTATTTAAAACAAATGTGAGATATTTTACAGCTGGGCCTTAAATCTCCCCGAAGACCGACTACTACCCCCTTCTTTGCACTGCACCCCCCCTTCCACCTCCTTGCCACTTATAATGATTTCCGGTTGTATATTTTTGGCAGCGCACTTTTTCCATCGATATTTAAAACAAATCAAAGATATTTTACAGCTGGGCCTCGAATTTCCCCGAAGAACAACCCCCAAAAAATCAATTAGATTTCATTCCCCACCCAGTTAGTTATTGAGATAATAAAAATTATATTTCTTTTATAAAAACAAAAATATTTACAAATATTTTCAAACCTAAAAATATTTAAACATTTCGAAACAAAACCTTGAAACATTTGTTGGAAAATTTAAAAAAAATTTTTTTCTAAATAAAAATTTATCACCCCTTATAAAAAATTAAAATGTATTTATTTATTTTATATTATTTTTAAAGTTTTTTTTTCTTCTATTTTTTTTCTATCAAATTATTGGCTTTCTTCTAATATTATTTGCATTTTTAAATATTTCGCGTTAAACGTCGAAGACAGATGCCGGGGTCATTTTGGACCTGAATCATGTTTATTTTCTAATTTTTTTTTAAACAAAAAATCATCCAAAATTGCGCGCCAAATTTTTCAAAGTTGCGCGCTAAATTTTTTTTTTCGATTTAATTAATAAAAGCAAAACAATTGCAATCAATCGATAATAAAAAATTTTTAAAAAATAATTATCTATTTGTTATCTCGATCAACTTTTTTTCCGTCAATCAAAAACTAACCTCCAATTAAATTATATTTTCTAGAAGCCCCCACCACCCGGTTTCCCCGCTTTCGCGGTTGGCGCCTATTCGCCGCGGAAAATACAAAAATACAAGTACATTTTGTACAATTCGCTGCAAATTCCGCGCCAACTATGAATTACGGAGTCAGTACCGGAAATAAGTAAGACCCCAATCGAGTGGAAAGAAATAATCCGGCGCGACTTTTTTTTTTACATACACGCTTACCCGAGGGAGAGTTGGCTGGGGTGTAAGGTGCTCTATTATACAAAAATTAAATGGTGGTCTATACAGTGTCCTCTAAAATTGGAGAGTAAGATACTATCGCGTTAAAACAGATTCGGGGGGGGGGAGCAGAGACCTTCATGGGCCGGGCCGGCCTGCAGGCCCATACCCAGCACAATATTATATTTTTTAGCGAGCTTGGGCCGGGCCTGGATTTAAAAATTTTTTTTTTTAATGAGCTAGGCTAGTATTGTAAACAAAATGATTGCCTAAATATATTTAAATATTGTTTATTTTCATTAAATAAAAAAAAATTCAATTTTTGGATATGGGTTTGGGAATTTTTTTTAGCATTGGATATAGGCCAGGCCGGGCTTGAGCCTAAAAAAATATTTACTGCATGAAAAAATTAAGGCCTGTGAAGGTCTCTGAGGGGGGTGGTGGCTCATAATCAAATACCAATATACTTAGTTAGTTATCCATTTTATATTTTAGTCCTCAGAGGGTCTAGCTTCATTGGATTGAAAGGTATAGATTTGGAGGGCTCTAAATTCCATCAGATTAAAGGAGAAATAAATGATGTATATTTTTACATAAAATCTTATTGTTTTTCTTTCAATATGAATTTACAGGAAGCCCTTATCAGTTTTACGTGGATAGAATCAAAGATTCAAATATTACGGCATGGGGACCCGGTTTATCCTATGGCCAGGCCAACGAGGCTTGCAACTTCACGGTCGTAACGAAAGATGGGCAAGCCGGTAATATCATAAATCCCATATTTTTTTTATAACGATATATCTTTCTTTTGTCATAAACTTGTCAATAATAATATTTTCGCGTATACGCTTATTTAACCCATTAGATGGCAATCAAAGATTGCAAAATTTTGATTGGGCATAATGATATTAATATTTATAGGCCACTTTTGTGACGTTTAAACGTAATTTCGTAAAAAGTATTTATTGAGAAATCAGATGATAAAATAAAATTAGCAAAGTTGTTAAAAGATACTTTTTAAATGGATCTAGATACAGATACAACGTCTAAAATAATATTCAGATACAGATTATTTAATTAAAAATCTATCTAGATTCAGATACCACATTTTTATATCTAGATACTTGTATTTTGATACAGGATCTAGATACTTTATCTAGATCTATGAACAACTCTGAAAATTAGTATTATAATATCATTCATATACTAACTTACATGTTAGTTCTACCGATTCTGAAAGAAATGACTCGCAATACATGATAGGGGGTAACTCATATTATAAGAAAAACGATTTTTTTTGAACCCCACTTGATATGGTTTACCCGGCATTCAATTATCGCCAATTCGCGGCGAAGTATAGTTAGGGTTAGGACACTGGTTCTTCTTGGAGACAGTTGTTTTAGTATAGTTAGGGTTAGGGGTACTCTTAGTTATTCTAAGGGTGGAGGCAGCTGTTTTAGTAAACTTTATACTTCGCCGCGAATTCTCGATAACTGTTAATGCAGGGTTATAAGGAATATATTTTAAAATTAAGAGAAATTCTGAACGCTAATATTTATATGCTTAATTAATAGAAAGCTAACGCCAAAATAAATTTTTTTTTGTAACGCGCGATAGGCGGCTTGGATACGACAGTGGAGGGCCCCTCTAAGACCGAGATAACGTGTCACGACAATAAGGACGGTTCTTGCGGCGTGACGTACGTGCCCAATCGTCAGGGAGTATACAAAGTCAACGTCAAGTTCAACAATAAGCACATATCCGGCAGCCCCTTTACCGTAAAAATCACGGGTAAAGAATTATCTTTACGCGTACAAAAATGAAGAATCAAATAAGATCATTACACGAATCATTGAAAAGAGAGGAAAATATTCATTTAAATTTTGCTTAAATTCTTCTACCTTCAAGTTCCCGTATAATATATATATATATATTTTTTTAAATTTAATATAAAAAGGCGAGGGGAGCAAAAGAAGCCAGCTTGCTAGCAGTGCCAACGAGATTTCGCTCGCCATAGATATAGATGACATTAAGAGCCTGCGAACGACCATAACTACGCCCGCGGGCGTCGAAGACGTGTGCCTTGTTAGAGCTTTATCCAACGGGAATATAGGTTCTTGTAAAATATATTTTATTTAACGTGAGAGTGATTTATATTAAAAATTGCTGTAGAAGAAAATTAGGCTATAAAGCCAAAAAAATCGCCGTTGCTTTTACCTTATATGATCCCCGAATCCTCGTCCTCATATTATAACAGTTACGATCGAAATTAGGGATATCTGAAGCTATTTGATTTGTCGCCCCTTCCCAAGGCTCGCTTAAAAAGGTGGACCATCATCAATCCATTAATATTACCCGCTTTCCGGTTCCGCTATGACATCGAGAGCCAAAATTGGTTGACTAAGAGAATTAACCCCACTTTGATTGAACAATTTTAGAGATGATTTTTATTCTTCTATTTCTAGTTTATAATAAAATCTGTTTACGCTTAAATACCGTGTTCATTTTTTTTGGTGGTCTAGATAATATTTTATATGTAAGAGCTAGGTTGTATATTGTTGTATCGTTCACCAGTCTTAATATTATTGGGTGTCACCCGCTCTTTCTATTTTTCATGTTCACCAATTTCGCGTGGACGATATTCGTTAATATCGATTCTAACAAAACTCCTTCGCTAGCTCATAAATACAGTTTAATAATTATTCATCATCATTAAAATAAGTTATTTGTAATCGAGTAACATCTATTACATTTTGTTATATAAACAATAACCCTTGTTGTACCAATTAACTTTTATTTATTTTTTCAGGGGTCTCTTTCACGCCACACGAGGTGGGTCAACACCTGATAAACATCAGGAAAGGCGGCGACCATATCAAGGATAGTCCCTTCAAGGTGGACATCAAGCAGAGCGATTTGGGCGACGCTTCTAAGGTCAAGGTTTCGGGACCGGCCCTGAAAGTAGGCCAAACCCAGGAGTCTAACAAGTTCACCGTGGATACCAAAACTGCCGGTAAATTTGATCGAGAAATATAATCACGTGATTTTAAGCGTATAAATTGCTCTTCACTACTATTATCTCATCTCCTACCCACTCCTGTTAAATAAAATTTACTTAATTATGTATAAAAAAAAATATACGAATATCATTTTCTACCATATGATCGTAAGGCTATGGTAATCTGAGCGTTTCTCTCGAAGGCCCTAGCCGGGCCGAGATCGATTGCCACGATAATCACGATGGCACATCCGATTTTTTCTACGTCGTCAAGCAACCAGGACAGTACTCTCTCAACCTTCGGTTCGCGGATAATCACGTTCCTGGTATGAAAATTTTTAAATATAAAAAATAGGTTATAATTCGTAAGAGATTTGTTTGTCATGATTTGACGATGCGAATTAAATATGGAAGTTCTAGTTCCTTATTTGACCTCGCGCAAAAAATATCTTATCCGCTGAAATTGGTTTACTCAAGTTATTCTGGGTTATCAAGTTGGATGTCTGGATCTGGCTCTTTAGACCCTAATGGGGGGGGGGAGATAATACCTATCTAATATACCCATTTTTGTTTGATTATTTTCAAGGTTCTCTATGTTAGAGACTTCCTTCGATTGACAGATTATATCGAGAAACACGAGCAGCATATTTTGTATATAAAACGCTAGAGTTTTTGCAGTCGTAAATTGCGTTTGAATGAGGTCTTCCTGTAACTATGAATCCATTTGCTGTCGATTACGATGCACTTCCGGCACGGTGAAATATTTGGAAACGATCCATTTATTTATTATGATTCTAAATTTCCTTTTAAGAATAGTAACTGAATTACGATGCCCACTGGGTGTGTCCTGATGTTCCGATATTTGAATACGATTCATTATCGGAAGCTAACGTAATTGAAATACGCGAATCTCGTCGTAAATTATTCTAACAACGGTGGCGTTATCTAGAGTCAACCTTCGCGCTTTTTTTTTAAAAAAAAAACAACTTATTTATTGTTTTAAATGTATTCGCTTAATATGGTACCCAATTGACATAATAGTAATACCTAAGCCTGACGATACATTCATAATAATGGCGTTTGAAAGCGTCGTTCAATGCAAATCAGCTGGACCCGCCATTTTGGTAACCCGTATGGTAATTATTCTCGCGTTAAAAACTACCGTTAAATTGATAACTCGCTTCCTTATTATCTCGATGATCAGGCTATTCTTTAATAAAGTTCGCGTCAGAGCATAGGAACTAATTGGCATCTCGTTTAAAAATTTTTAATAATAATATTGGGTAACCAAAATGGCGTCCTCAGCTGTTTTTCATTGATGTACACTTTTAACGAATGCATCGCCAGTCTAGTTATTATTATATGTCATTGATGGTATCTCATTTCGTAAATTGAAATCCTTTTTTAAATATATATAAAAGTCGGTTATATCTAATTAAAATCTTGGGTAAAATGGAGTCGTTTAACAACACTAATCAAATTGATTGTAGTCGGATATTGTACCGCTGATTGTAGACCTAAAATTCTTATTTGGCTTATTACTTCCGGTGTATTTCCGCATCCGGTTTGTAAAATATAAAAGGGACACATTTAATCTTTTAAAAGGAGTTGCCAAAACCTTCTTATTTCCCTCGTAAACTCATTAGCGACAGATTTATCCCGACAGCTCAACAACGGCTAGTGCCGCTTATCCAGATAGCTCGATAACGGCTAGTGCCACTTAAATTCCCTGTTTAAAAAAATTTGTTTTTACAATTTTTGGTGAGGTTCCGAAACTTTTTAATTTTGCTTTTAAAATTACTAGCGATTTTAATATGTCGGCATCCGTTAATGCTTAAAATCCCTACATGATTTTTCCTATTCTGCTCATAACCCAATAAAAGCTGATTTTACCGATATCCGTTGAATATCAATTCGGCACAAATTACGCACTAAGTATTGACCTGGATTTGAGAATAATAACTTCGCCTACCCTTTTTCCTAGAGATAGTACTATCATAAACGGCCTAACACTCTGGGAGGAAACCTACCTGTCTGGAACATCGCCACTTGGCATGCTGGGAGCATGAGGGAAAGAGAGGGCGAAGTGGTTAAGACTTAAAAGGGTAGACTTAGGTTTGCTTACAACTAGATGGAAAACATGTGCGAGAATTATTGGCCATGACACGAATGCAAAGTACAGATTCTTTTGTCTAGATAGTGGTGATGTAAACTCTATGTTTGGTGACTTTTTTTGTGAAAAATGGGGTAAAAACAGAGTCTTGGATGTGAAAAGAGTGAATAAGCGTATATTGGCTATCAAAGTTATTCATTGAGAATATTCAACATGATTTTGGAATATATATGACCTCCAAGATGATAGAACTGGAAAAGACAGACTTTGCATTTCGGAATAATAGAACAAACATCAGAGCTACTGTGGGAAGCCACTATGCTAGACGGAGACTCAAAATGGCATGTTGGAGGAAATTTTGAAAATATGAGAGCTTTTGGCAAGAGAAATCGTGAATACTAAGAGAACATTCGAATTTGGTTCTGGCGGTGAAAATGAGTGCGGTGACTTTATATGTTCGTGAGGATAAATGATCGATTCCTTAGAACAAAAAATGTGATTCCACGAGTAGAATATATCTCGGATCATTGATTAGTTGTAGGTGGTCTTAGAGTCAAAGGCATAAAAGAAAAGGTTAAAGAAATGCGTCCTTGAACCAAAAGTTCTGAGGAGAGTACAATAAAATGATTTATCTCAAGGTATAAGATGTAAAATAACAGAGGGGGGGGGCGTAATTAAAAGAAAAAGACTGGTTTGAAGGCAAAAGCAAAGGTAGGTCCCTGGTTAAACAAAAGAGCCGCTGAGACGCGAAGAGACGCGATGGTGGAATTTCGAGAAAAGGACATGCTACTAAGAACGGAGAAAGACTATGATCGAATGTGACAGGGGAAAATATGAGATCGCCAAGGAATAAATTTTCAATAGGAGTTTAAAAAAATGGGGAAGAGAAGAAGTAATGTGTTAAGAAATCGCGGATTGGAGAAATTATGGAGGGTATAATTGATGGTAAAGGAATCTAAAATGGTTTGGAATGAGGTGGGGTCTGGCTTGATAAAGACGAAATTAGGGAACATCAACACCTCCTACGAGAAGGGTTGAAGCATCCTAAGATCCAGAGATTGAGTGTGAGTGGCTCGCCCTTGCCTGCCAACTTGATTAAACTTTGGGGAAAAAATGAAAGGGGGGGGGAGTGGGGGTATAAGTTTATTTCGAAAAAGTTGCGCGCGCGAAATTTCTCGCATACACGCGATATTTGACACCATTTTTCTTTCCGCGGACAATAAATAATGGCAACGAACGAATCTTATTAAAAACTTTTAAAATAAGAATTTTCGAGCCCATTCCACGAAACAATATTTAATCCCTTATTTAGGAGAATATATGGAACCGTCGGGTTTAAATTTCAATTAGGATAAGAAAAGAAAAGAATAGAGAAAGAATAGAAGAAAAAAAAAAGAAAGAAATTTTTTTAAAAAAAATATATATATTTATTTTATTCAAGAAAAAGAACACTTAACAAGTAATTAAAATTTTTAATAAACTAGAGTTTTTGTTAAACGGTTCGTTTTGAGCCGATTTTTTAACCGGCTAATTCAATATTTTAGCGTTAAAAATATCCGCCTTAGCCTCGAGATTTCGATAATATATGTCTAGACCTTTGTTCCTTCTATGAGCAAAATCTTCGGGCTTGCGTAATATTTTTTTCTGAATGTAATAATCGAGTTATCCATTTTTAAGGCTCAAAACGAGCATTTTAACAACAAAGGGATTAAAGGGGTCATCATAGGCGAGCTGGTTCTTGCAGTGAAATCTAGAACAATCCGATATTCGAAAGAGGAAAAGGGAAATCGAATATTTACGCCATATTTTTTTTTTAAAAAAAGTTGACCTTTTAGAAAAGAAAGTTTTATTTTAATTAGAAAATTAATTAATTCATGCACGCACGCACATGTTGGGATTGTGAAACCAATTTATTTTTATCGGTTTTTTTATAAAATAATATTTTTTATATTTATTTCGAATTTTATTATTTTATTAAATTTAATTATAAAATAAAAATATTATTTTTTTTTAATTGGAAAATGTTTTAAAGTTTTTTTTTTAAAAAAATAATAAAATAAAATGAAATGAGGAATGAAGTTGGGGAATTATCTTATTTATATATTATAATGTAATGAAATAGCATACGTTTTTTTTCTACTTTTAGCCTTTAAAAAAATATAATTTTTTTAATGATCGAATTAAAAAGAAGAAATAAAATAAATAAAGAGAAGAAAATTTTTTTAAAAATAAGAGTTTTTTGGTTGTGCGTTTTGTTCTTATTCATCCTTCGTCTTTTCGTGCCGGTCTTCGAATATAAATTGTTAACCCCCCCCCCCCCCCCCCCCCCGTCTAACCTATTTTTCACTAAAATTGGAGTTGGAACACTATAATAATAACATATTTTTTATCGTTATTTTTGATTACGGAGGGATGAGTCGCCATATTGAATTTGATCGTCGAATTCTCTAAAAAAAAATATATATACATTTATATTTTGTTTTTTTTTTAAAAAATAAATAAAATAAAATAAAAATTTTTAAATTTTATTTTTTCGCAAAATTAAAAGAAAAATAAATTTTTTTTTTCTATAATATTCCTATTCGATATTTTTGTGTACATAAATTTATTCCCGTAAATCGCCTCATCCGCCCACCCTTTATCTCTTCTTATCATAATATAAAAATGCACAACCTTAAACCAACGCCAAGACTCAAACCAGCGTCAATCAAACTTCGCGGAAGTATTATGAAAAAAAAATTTATAAATTGTTTTCCTTGAGAATGTTCGTACATAACTGACAGACAACCTACGTCTTATATACACTGACCTTCTATATTAGTGTGACAGACAACCTGCGTCGTCTACATACTAACCTTCTATACGGTTTGACTGACAACCTGCTTCGTCTATATAAATTACGGTACATGACGGAATGACTTGCAAGTTGTCATCTTGGGTTCCCAAAGAAAATGAATCAGATTTGACATCTCCTTCCATATCCTAAGCTTCTGCGGAGTGATTTTTCCTTGTTTTTTTTGAGCGTTTTCTGCTCCCCATCTTTTCGTGGCTTTTTGATCTTATTTTTCTTCCCAAATTAGCATTGCGAGCGGATCTCTCTCTTTAAACCATACAAATATTTTTTTTTAAATGAGTATTTTATAAAAATGAAAATAGATTTCAGAAAAAAATTATACGTAAAAACATTTTAATTTATGATAAAATAAAATTATTATTTTTTTTAGGGAGTCCTTTCAGCATAAAGGTTCAAGGGAAAGGCTCGGACGCTATTAATGAAGCTATCAAGAAGAATCAGAAGGCAGCCGAATCCACTCACGTAGACAGTCAGTGCGAATTGAATCTGAAATTGTTGGGTTAGTGTTTTGAAAAAAATAAAATAAATGTATATTTAAGATGTGAAGTAGTGGAAGAATTGGGTATTAAATTTGCTGAATTTGACATTTAATCTCGAAAAAGAAAATATCTAGATCTCGGAACATTTTTTTTTTAAGGATTCTCTCGGACTGGATTTTTGATCAATTTTTACCTAAAATTCCAATTATCTTTTATGAGTAAAATTAGTTTTGATCTTCTTTTAAAAATAAATCTTCAATTTTGTTGGTCTCCGATGATTTTTAAGCGGAAGAAATCTTCTAAAGTAGGTTTTTTGTTGAACCCTTGTTAAATTGAATCCTTTTCTCGTGAACAATTTAAAATATGGTGCTGCTAGATATTATTAGATGCCGGTAGGCGTCAGACGAATAATATGGAATCCCCCCTGTATTTCTACAAAATTGCATTAATAAGGAATATAGGATATTTATACTACATAATCATTATTAGCATAAGCCGTATGGATAAGGAATCGATTATTATTTTTTTCTCCTTCTTTGAAAACGCTAGATTGCGACCCATTCGATTTAACGGCTCAAGTCACTTCCCCTTCCGGCACCATCGAGGATTGCGAGATCATCAATCTTAACGAAGGAAAATTCAGCATTAGGTTCAAAGCTAAGGAACTCGGCCAACACAGCATCTCCGTTAAAATCAAGGGAAATCACATCAAAGGTTCCATCCGTTTTTATTTCCTTAAAAGGGGAGCGGGAGCGAATAACGCAAGGTCATAATTAAAATTGAAAATAGGGGGTGAGGTGTAGTTTTGATTGACGGGAGGGGGTATTCGGTACGGGGTTAAAATTTTTGAGGGCAGTAGGAGCATCTAGAGTTAATATTTATAGAAACATAAAATTATGGAAATATTTTTAAGGAAGTCCTTTACCTTTTACGGTCGGCGAAATCGTGAGGAATGACGGCGGAACGGGAGCGCACAAGGTTAAAGCTTACGGACCTGGATTGGAACAAGCCGAGGCTAATCGCAAAAGTTATTTTTATTTTGCTCATATAATAATTATCCATTTAAGATTATAATTCCAAAATCCAATCCCCACTCCCAGTTTGACAAACATTTATTTCATTTTTTGTTATAAGGTTCTTTACCTATTTTCCTATAGGAGCAAGATTTTCCTGCATTTTAATAGGGTTTTTCTGAATTTACATATAATAGTTCTATTAAAAAAATCAAAGCTAAGTTTTATCGTTACAAAAAAATACATTCCAAAATTACATTCTCCCTTAAAATTGTAATATATATTTTGAATAACGAAACTTATTAGCCGATTTCAACATAACCACCCACGAAGCTGGGCAAGGTACTTTGGGCGTTATGATCCAAGGGCCAGGAAAATCGGATATTCAATACGAAGACCTGGGGAATGGGTGCGCGGCTATTGAATACGTTTGTAAAGAGGTAAAAAGAACTTGATTTAAATCATTAACAAATATTGAATATTATTTCTCGCCTGATATTTCATATAAGCTTACTTTTATATTCTTTCTCTGTATATTTACCATTTGCTGTTTTTTTTTTAAAATAAACTTTCCATTTTCAACCCCCTTTTCCCCCCATATTCGATATTATTTTGTGACAGGTAGGAGAATACATTGTCAATGTAACCTTCAACGACAAAGCCGTGCCGGATAGTCCCTTTCACGTGTTTGTGGCGCCTCCCATGGGCGACGCGCATAAGATAACCGTTTCCGCGCTGGAGGAGCGCGTTTCTGCCGCCATTCTCGACAAACCGGTCACCTTCAACGTCAACATGAACGGAGTTAAGGGTCACCTCGACGCGAAAGTGGTGGGCCCATCAGGTCAAGAGGATGACTGCGCGTTAATGCCCTCGGGACCGGATAGCTATATGGTTAGATTCGTCCCCAAGATGAAAGGTAAAGTTTTTATTATTTTGAAGGGAATGAAAATAAAACATGGATTGAGAGAATTAGATGAATCAGCTGGCTAAGATGATGTAACCTCGGTGTTTAAGTCGGAGCTAAGTATTTACTTTCCAGAGAGGTGTCTCATAATGGCAAGAAAAAATATTAATTTGCACCGTCTTCTTGGATGGAAAATTATAAGGTTTGTAGGCGATTGTCCTTACCTATCAAGAAGCATTTAATGCATAATGTATGACCAAAAAAATCATTTCAAACAGGGACTCATTACGTAAACGTCAAATTCAATCACGTGCACATCCGGCATTCTCCCTTCAGGATTAGGGTCGGTAAGGATATAGAGGGCGATCCCGTGAAGGTTCACGTCTCCGGAACGGGATTGACACACCCTAAATTGAGTAATTAAAATTTATAATCAGCTGATATTGATTTGTCGATTTCCTTTCGTACGTTTTATCCGATTTTTTTTCCCCCTCGTGCATTATAATTGTTTTGGTAAAAGTGAACTACTTTACCCTACCGATTTGGACAATACTATATATTTTATGTAAGCTTTTTATTTAGTTGTTAACTATTTATGTTGGTTATCCTCTTAAAATAGGAGAAAGAAAGGGTTAAAAAGGAAAAAATACTTTTTACCCATTTTTATTTACCTTTTTTTTAGACGTCATGAACGAGTTTATGGTGAACACCGCGGATTCTGGTGCCGGCGTTTTAGCCGTCAATATTGACGGACCTAGCAAAGCCGAAGTCAGTTTCAAAGAGGAAGCGGAAGGTTTACATTTCTTATATACGAATTTTTCAACTTCATCCACCCACAAATAACTTATATTTGACTCTCTTGTTTTTAGGCCATGTCCAAAACATCGGAAAATTAAGTTCACAAACTTTCGAAACTTTAACGAAAATTAATAAGATGGCCCATTTAAACATAAATATTAGAACGTGTGTCCAAAAGTATAAACATACGGATTTCATTAAAATTTTAAAATGGTTGCCTCTCATGATAAATTTTATTTTTAAGGTTAACATTCTTAAGAATTTTTTTTTGCCTATATATATATATATATATTTATTTATTTAAACCCCCCAAACGGCAAGGATACAAGGTGATGTGGCTTCCTAAAATTCCGGGAAATTATTATTTAGCTATCAAATTCAGTGGACATCACATAACGGGAAGCCCGTTTAAGACCGTTGTTGAAGGTAAATGAATGAGACGTATTTTCGATTATAGTTGGTTTATTTTATTTTTAAAAAATTGTGTATAGTAGCTAAATTCCGGTAATGGCCTATATAGGCTAATTCGGGTCGCTTGAGTTTATTAATACCTTTGTCAACGTTACGCTCCTGAGGCTGAAGCGATGATCTTTTCGGTTAAAAAAAATCTGTTTTTTTTAGGGTTTGGCACTTTTTGTTAAAAAGTCAATTGAAAACTTAGTTTTAACATGGATAAATTACCCGCCTATCATAGTATAGTCGCTCGTAGATTTTTATTGAAAATGTAACGATTTCACTATCGGTCGTTACCTTATATTTTCGATGGCTAGAATAATAATAAGTTTTTATATTTAAATTTTGCCTTTTAAAAGATGTCCTTTCTAAACCGAAAATGTGGAAGAAAAGAAAGCTTTTAAGAGTAAAAATATTAGGGCTTGCCTCGTGTAGTAAAAAAAAGATTAGGTATTGTTATTAGGGCAATCGGTATAGGTAAAAAAAGTCGATTCATTTCCGGTTTCTACGCTTTCCCGCCAATTTTCGGTTTTTACGCTTTCCGGCCAGAAAGAAGTATTAAAATCTCACGAAACATTTTTTAAAGTTTGTCGAATGAGGAAGTGAGGTTATAAAGGGGAAAGGGTGAATAATCATTTTTAAATTTAATTTTAAAAAAACAATAACCAATTGGAAACATAGGTAAGAAGCCCCCCGGACATGGCGATAGAAGAGAGAGTACTGCCTTAGTCGTCGAGACGGTCACCAAGACTAGCTCTAACAAGAGCGAAATTTCTTTGCCCAAGTTCCACTCCGACGCTACCAAAGTTGAAACTAGGGGTATAGGCCTACAAAAGGCGTTTATCAATAAGCAAAATTCGTTCAACGTTAATTGCAGCAAAGCTGGTACGAAAAAAAAATAAATTAGATTAAATATTACGTTATTTATTTTTTGCTTGTCAAAATAATGATTTTTAACTCGTTTGACACTCATTATTGTACATTCATATTTTGTCAAAAAACGTAATCTAAGGCAAAATTTTGAATTTGATATTTTTAATTAAAATTTGTATAAAATAAACATTTAAATCTTTTTTCCATATGGGTAATGCGCCGTTGAGTAATTGTATTCCAGTTGGGTAAGAAAGGGATAATAATTATATTTTCTAATACTCTTACAATAATTTATTTTTTATATCCAAAATTCCAAAAATTTATTATTTTTTACGTTGCCCACCCGAAGCATTTTTATTTGCACACTTTATCCACCCATCCCTCTCAAATCTTGAAAATTAAAACGGTTAAATTCACCAATCAGGATTAACTATGGAAAAAAAACACGTGTTATGTATGACTTTATCCCTGGGGTTGTTAAAATTTTATCTTTGAATAAATAGTTGGAAAGATCTACCTATATAGGAAAGAATGGGTTGAGTGCTTAACCTATATCCTACCCGCTCAGCTGTTAGCCAGAAAACGATTCACATTTTTATTTTTTTTTTAAACGGCTAACTCAATATTTTATCCACGCAAGCCTTGAAGACTTTGTTCCGAGATGGCACAAAGGTCGAACATCTGTTAGCGGAATCTCAGGGTCTTATAGTATAATATTGAGTTAGCTATTTTTTAAATCGGCTTCGAGCCGTTTACCCTTCAAATATTATTAATTTTTAATTGGGTCGAGGTTGTAAATAAAGCGAATAATATTTATCTTTCACTTTTCTTCCAAATTTATAGGCCAAGATATGCTGACAATTAATGTGTGGGGTCCTACGGGACCCTGTCAAGAGATTTGCGTTAGGAATATAGGTGGCAGCCAGTTTTTGGTGAGCTACATTGTCATCGAGAAGGGTGATCTATTTTTGGTAGTCAAGTACGGAGACAAGGACGTACCTGGTTCGCCCTTCCACATGAAGGTGATTTAGGGAAGGGGGGAACACCCGGGAAAAGAATTCACAATTTTTTTTTAAATGAAATACATATATTTAATAAATATTATAACATATTTTTCTGTTTTAATATTAAAAAAAAAATTATATTATTTATTACATTTTACTAATATACATATATATTTTTTATATAAAGTGTAATATTTCAAAATATTGTATTGTATTATGTATATTATTAAAGTTTTTAACCTGTAAATTTATAACTTTTTAAAAACTTCATAATTAATTTGTATTTTATTTTTTGGCAGTCAATCTCTCAATCACTTATTCTATAAATTCATAACTCGGTGAAAATTTTTATTATTATTTTAATTTTAAAAACCGGAGCAAAAGTGTGTCAAAATCGACTGGCTAGAATTACCCATTATTTTATCCACTGAAAGAAGAGGAGAAAATCCGATGGCAAGGGATGAATGCCGTTGAATCTTCCCAACCTGGATTCTAAGTAATTATTAGGCACTAATCAAATCTTGGGAAACTCTAACAGACATGTGCCACATTTCTCGTGTGTTTTAACAAAAAAAAAATAATATATACTACTTGCATGCCTTATTTTACATTTATTTATTCATCGCGTGTTCTTTGGGTTTATTACAGTAATTACTATTTTGTTTAATAAATTATGAAAGTTCGACTAAAAAAAAAATCCTTATTGGTGATGTCGTGTTAAAACAATCTCCTTAGATATTAGTGTTTATGTTGGGAGATTACACGTTCTTGTAAATTTGCTTAGGAAAACCCGCTGAGTTAGAGTGAAAGAAATAACTAGGTTTTTAAACTGTAATATACCAATGTTTTCCCTACTAACGACTGAATTGCTTTTTAATATTATTTGCCAACCTCGTGTGCTTATTTCCCTATTTTTTTCTTCTCTTGGTGCCTCTTTTCCTCCAATTTTTTTTTTTTTAGCATCCCATTTTAATATTTTAATTTAATTTCGATTAACAACTTAATCCCAATTTAATCTACAGTTGGCTGGCATTTCGCCGCAATTACTTATAACGTGGTCAAAAGTCTTTAGAGGAATTTTCTGGACATTTTTGCGTCCGAAGAATTCTATCAATCGAAATTTTTGACCCTCGTTATTACTAATCGAGATTTTGCCATATTCGGGTCAGTAAATCGTTTCCGTTTATCGCACGAGACAAGTCGAGATATCATTATTTGTCATTAATATTTTTTTTAAAAAAAATAAAATAATATTTATCTTTTACAAAATTGCCCAGGTTCAGACTCATTTTTGATGGTTGGAATTTACGGCCGCGGTCATCCCCATTCCATTTCTAACGGATCTTTGGTTAATGGCGATATTCATCCCGACAACGAAAGCGAAACTTGGACTAATTCGTTCAACCAATACCGCGCGAAATGCGAAACCCTCAACGTAAACCACGTGGGTTCCGACATTTATACCGTTTCTTACGAAATCAAGATTCCCGGCGACTATTTAATTTTCGTCAAATGGGGCGATGCTCACGTGCCCGGTTCTCCTTTCGAGATTCGGGCTTCTTAATTTTCGAAAATATGCATTATAAACACGCAACACGAAACATAAATTCCCATTTAATTTAAACGATTTTTTTTTATCTTGAAGCAAATTAGGTTTAGGATTTTTTTTTCCATCGAGTTATTTTATTTTTTATCCTATATATCATTTAAACGTATTGGGGAATTCATCTATATTTATTATTACTATATATGCCAATCATATTACTACATATGCCAATCTATTTGATTTTTAAATTTTCTCACTTTTGAAATAAATATATATATATATAATTTTTTTTTGCAACCATATTTTAAATTTAATATACTCCCTTCGTTGCCATGTTTTAACTTCATTTTTTTTGAATTCATAAGAAGAAATATATATATATATAAATAAATAAAAACAAAAAATATAATTTTATACGCTTTTGTTAGGTTTTATCCCAGATTTAAATTAATCGGGGTAATACGAACGGGGGTTTAAGAAACTAATTTAAAATGTATCGATTTTTTTTAGCCTTTTATAAAAATTTATTCTAGTTATGATGATCAAGTGTCCCTTTAAGAGACTTGGTGAAAGGGGGGGGGGGTATCTATCTGTCTACATATTGTTTTAAAGGGAAGGTTTCTATGGGTAGGGTGATGGGAGGAGGCAAATGTAGGACTGTTTACCTCAAATAATTTTCTCTCGTATAAACCATACTCTGATGATAAGGCTTTATTTATAAGTGTCAGTCTAAAACACATTGAGGGGGGGGGATCTATTTGTCTACATATTGTCTTGAAAGGTAGGTTCCTATGGGTAGGGTAAGGAGGGGGGGGGGTGAAGTAAATATGGGACTATTTACCTCAAATAATTTTCTCTCGTATAAACCCTACTCTGATGTTAAGGCTTTATTTTAAACAATTTGTGCCCATGTGAAGAATCAAGGATAGGTATAAATTAAAACGGCTAGATTGAAATTGAGATTCTTTGTTATAAGTAAAGATGGATTTATCATCCCTTCCTATTATTTCTTATATTTAAGAGATGTCTCACGGTCATTTTGACAAATTTTTATTTTCTATGAAATTCTGATTATGAATCAAAAACGATATCTCAACATTAACTTTAAATTCATTCAAAATTCTCCTTGATGAGTTTTTTAATGGCAATTCTGATTATTAATCATTTGTTGGTAAAATTATTGACAATTACTGAGGACGCATTCATATAAATGTGTATCAATACAAATCAGCTGTTAATACCATTTTTGGTTTCCCATATTTGCATTAAAATTTTTATGAAACTAAAATAAAATTCCGTCTCATTTGTTTTTTTTTTTAATAATTAGAAAACTATTTGTATATAATTTCTAAAAAATGTTCAAAAAAAATTATAATTTTATTTTTAAAATTGATTTCTTAAAAATAATAGTTAAATTTGAAAATATTGTGATTAATCAAGCAGAGAATGAATATACACAAAAGTCTTAGAAATTTTATATTCTCACCAATGTCTAAGTCTTCTACCTATAAGGAAAATAATGAGCTGCTGATTTCATGCGCGTACGCAGGAATTTGGTGTGAGTGGGGGGGGGGGGGATAATAAAAAATTTTTAAAATAAAATTATTGTTTTTTAAAAATATCAAGCATAAATTTATTAGGACTAATAACTATTTATAATACACAAATTTAAATTTATATGAATTATAAAAAAATTAAATATATAAACCGGTATATAATAATAAATTTGAATTAAAAATATTAAACGGATATTACCGGCGGCATATAAATACTTTAAATAAATCTGAATTATAAAATATTAAGTGGATATAACCAGGATATGAATGACTATAAAATAAATAACCCATTATAGAAATTTAAATTTTTTTGAGCCTTTAAAATTTATAAATAAAGTATAAAAAATTTAAATGTTGGAAATTTGAATAATTATATTTTTTATGTAAAAGTAAAATATATAAGACATTAAAAAATGATCGCACAAAAAATATTATAGAAACATTATATTTTTATAATGTAAAATCCAATCTTCGTTGGGATTGAGCTAATTTTTCAATTATCTCATCTGTGCTTGGCGTCAAATGCCTATGAATATTCAAAAGGGCCAGACCATTCAATCTACTTTCAGAAGTTGTACTTCTTAGGTAAGTTTTTTATCTTCTTAAAGAAGAGAATGTTCTCTCATTAGTTGCAGTGCTAATGGGAAGAGTTGCTAATATATATAATAATTTCAATATATTGGGAAAATAATCTAAAAGATGTTTGAAATGATGCAAAGCATCCATAGAATTTTTTGTGACTATATCAACCATATTTAAACTTTTATACCATAGTTGGCATTCAGCTAATAAAGCATCATGAGATACATTAATGTCTTCATGATAAAAATCTGCCAAATATTTTATTTTTTTTCTATCACCATCTGAAAAAGGTTCAGAGGGCTTTTGCGGAAGTAATATCTGCAGATTGGTAAGTGCAGCTTGATGAATTAAAAACCATTCATTTACTTGGGTTATAAATGTATCCAAAAGAAGTATAAAGACATTTATTTTATAATATTCTTCTAATTGACCCTATATTAATATTTGGACGATAAGCTTGCCTTGCTGCAAGGGAGACAAATAAGCTCTGCTTTTGATTCAACAATAACATATAAAATATGAAATTCCTCATCAGCATTAGCTCTAATTTCCTTGAGTTCTAATAAAATTGTCTCTGCTATTATCATCTCAATCAAATCAATATCAGGTTTTTGAAAAGTATTACATAAAATAGTTGTATAATTAAATAATTTATTAATACATTCTAATGCGAAAAAAAAATTTGGTATAAGTATTAAATCCAGTAACTTGCTTGCTTCTGAAGAAATATCTCTTTCAGACCATTGTGATATTTCTGTAAGAGCATTAATAATCGGTTCTTCTATAACTCCATAAAAGCTGTTTGACGAAGACTCCATCTTGTTGGACAAGCTTTTTGCAATTTTTTTCTCCTTGTTGGGCAAGGAGTTTTAGATATAATTCTGTTCAAAATATTTTGACGCTTGGGGTATTTAAACATCTCATAGATGCTAGATATTTTACCTGATATAAATATAAAAAAATTTAATTTAAAATTATATCTAAGCAATTTGATATCAATGGTAAAGAACATGAATCCGATATTGCTAAGTTGAGTGAATGGGCAGCACAGTGGACATATATAGCTGAATTGTCCACTTATTGTACGTGCTCCATTATACCCTTGCCCACGTATATTTATATTTAGCTATATTTTTGAAAATAATTTTATAATAATATAAATTATTACCTTTCATTTTTTAAGATTCTCGAATATTACATCCGCTAAAGCAGACCCAGTCATGCTTGAAACAGGAATAAATTGTATAAACATTTCCTTGATAATGTTATTATGAGTATCTACAAATCGCGACACAATGACATCTACTCAATGCCAGCAATGTCCGTGGTCATATCTGCTAAAATTGAGAAGCATGGGGCAAAATTGATTTTCAGCAATCAATTTTTTTAAAATGATATTGATGCAAATATCAATTATCTCATTTTGTATTCTAGGGCTAAGATAAGTAGCATTTTTATTGCCACTAATGAGGCTCTCCATTAATACAGGATCATTTCCGCCGGATCTTTGTATTTGTTGAAAGGAGTCTTAACAAGAGTGTTAAACTTAACTAGATTTCTGCCAGCATATCGTGGTCCAAACAGGACACGTATCTTGCAATAAGTTCCACTGTCTCGGATGGAGTATGCTAGCCATAACCATCTAGTAAAATAGCTAAATTGAAATTTTAACTTTCGATTAGCACATAAAGTTTGGGGATATTGAAAATTGAGGGGTGGATTATAAATCTATTATTAAATATAATATTTATCATAGGTATCTTTAATATATACCTTTTTAAGAAGTATATGTCTTTCTTCTTGGGCTAATATTATCTTTACCTAAAAAATTGGCTATATCATATGGGTGATCATTGTACTCTAGTTTTGTATAAAGATATTAGTTTTAAAGTTTATGTCTAAATATTGAGATGTAAATTAAAATTATTTTAAAAAAAAATTATTGCTGCACATTGTTGCAATCTCATTCTACTAAATTAAATATCTAAAATTCTTATTTGTATCATTTGTATGATTGATATTTTACTATTCCATCCTTACTATTACCAGGTTCTTCATAATAATCATATCATATGAATCTATTTATCAATTCAATTATTTTATTATTACATAATTAAATTAAATCCATTTTCAAAGTAGGTGTTCAAAAAAAAACCTCCATAAGTACATAAAAATGTAAAATTATTTATTAAATAATACCAGCTAAGTTATTATAAAACTGCCCAAATGTTTTTTTAGAATAACTAACCTTTAGATGGCTCTATATCCTGTCTCTCAATTATTCTTTCAACAATTCTTCCATTATTTGCTATTATGATTGCTAAAAATATTTTAAAATTAAATTTTTTATACTATGCTTTTTTGCTTTTTGGTATGATTTTTACTATCTTCAGTGTTTTTTTAAAAAAAGTCTAATATCCTTGACTAGAAATTTGAAAATGGTGAAAAAATATAATGCCGGGAAATTTAAAAATAATAGAAATATATTACGCCAAGGAAAACTTGAAAATGAAATTGATTGATAAAAATAAATTAATAAATGAAAAAAGGTAACAATATAAAAATTTAAAAAGAACGAGATATGAATAAATATAATAAAATATATATGAATATGTCGCAATTATGATATTTCTATTAATCAGAATAATTTTTCTATAAAGAAAAGATATATTTATAAAATAATATTTTCTAAAAATAACTAATTTTTATATAAGTAACAAATATTTACTTCTATTTATGACAGTGACATCCAATAATGATCAGGGCTCTAATATTAAGCAATCAATCTTAAGTTGAGTCCATCTAAATCGTTCCTATCCATAGAGGGATTCCCTTCTGAAATATACTTCCTCTCTCAAAAATCATTTTAAAATGCCCCATTTTTTTTTTGTAATAGTTTGTTTTACTTTTATAATTATTGGTTATTTTATTTTATCATATTACTATTTTACTAATTATCGTTTTTTTTTGAAGAAGAGGGGGAGGGGATTTACTTGTCCTTTTTATAATTATTTAAACTATTTATTTTAGCTTGACTTTTAATTTGTATCTTTTAAAGGAAATTTCAACTAATTTTTTTTTTATATCTTTTCAATTTATCTTTTATAAATAGCGATCGCGGTTTAACAGCTGACAGTTTTTGTAATGATCTGTTTATGAGGTCAATTTTTCTTTATTTAAATCATTATTTCTTAGAGTTATTATTAGTAAATAGAAATTGATCTCATAAACCGATTTTTAAAAATCGATCAGCTGTATCGCAATCGCGCCACTATG